TTCCGGCAGACCCTCTTGCATAAACAATATCTCGGAAGGCAGAAGGAAACAATTTCCCCATAATTTAGCTTCAACTTGAAGATGCTCCTGCTGCTGCTTCTGCTACTGGTGCTGGTGCTGCTATAGCAGTCGTCGATAATACAGATTATGGCAAAAATATGCAAAACAGCACCAAATATCGTTGCGAATGAAAACAAATGCCAAAACGAAATCGCACAGCAGCCAAAGGAGCCAAAAAAAAAGCGTAAAGAAAAGAAAGCAGAGCAACTAACGCGCAGTATTCAAGGCGCATTCAAATGAGATAAGGCAGCATTTTTTGGCAGCAGCCGCATGCATGAGTTCATGTGTGGGAGTGTGTGTTAGTCAGTATGTGTGTGGGCTTTAGCTTTGGGGTGTGCGTGCCCCATTAGGCGGCAGCCAGCAATTGTACGCTGTTACGTTTCTATTAAGCCAAGCAACATTCACATCCCGCCTTTAGCTCCCCACCATACCAGCCATCCTGCCATCCAGCCATCCTAACATCCTACCTCCTGCCACTGCGTTCTCATTCTCGTCCTTGTCCAAAGCCAACATTTTTCGGGCGCATAAAAGCAAATGGAAACAAGCAACAATGCTCCAGAGCTGTTGAAATGCCAAACCAGCGGGATATCCAGTGACTCGGGATATGCCTTCCACAACTGAAAAGTATGTTACATTTTTAAGCTTTATTATAAAAATATTAAATCAAAGTTTTTTGAATATTAAATTATGATAGTAGTTACTATAATAATTGGAACTTTGTTTTATTAAATGCAATATCTATCTTATAGCTACTGGGTATGGGTAGTGCATACAACTCCAACCAAAACAGCGAATGGAAAAGCACCGCTCGCAAGCGACACCGACTAAAGGCGGGCGTAAATGGAAATTGTGTGCTTTGGCTGGCATTTTTCGGTTGGCAATTTCATGCGGCGTCTTTAAAACGCCATATATTGCTGTCACAGTCACAGTATAGAATTCGCTGGCTACATCCTCATCCGCATCCCACATTTGAAATCACATTCACCGACGAGAGGAATCGCATAAATCGCGACGCACATTTTGTTTGGCTGCCTGACGTTAAGATTTCCGTTTAAATAATTCAAAAATTTGCCGAAATGACAAATTACGCGACTCTGCATGTGTTTCATTAATTTGACGCAGCCCAGCTCTCCTTAAAAAGAGCCAGGATTCCACACATACACACACGTGCCGAAAGCCGAATGCTGAAAGCTGAAAGCGGAAAAGCGGAAGAGCGGAAAAGCGCTGCGTGGCATTTCATTTTCATAAATTTTGGGGGACCGCCACAGCGACAAATGACAACGGCAGACTCAATCAATTTGCGCCCTTCAAGGGACATGGGCCAAGTGGCAAGAGGCAAGTGGCTGGTGGCCATAACTGGGCGTGTATGGGTGTTAGTCTGACTGACTCTATGTATGTGTGTGAGTGTGCTTGCGGCTTACCCATATTGCTTTACGTGCCAAAATTTATGCTTATTAAAAAAAATCAGCAGTGCGCATCGAAAAGTCAACTTGGTTGACATCGTCCTGGCAAAAGGACTCGTCCTGGCCTGGCCGTTCTTTCACAGTCTTCGCTGGGCCTTCCCACATCATTGTCCTGTGGCCACAAAATGGCCGCCTGGATGTCCATTTGCCAACCGGTTTTGTGTGCTAACTCTCCGTGTATCCCAGCGTAGCCAGCGAGGACGTGTGTGTGCCCGGTCCCCGAACGGAAATGTATTTAATGGCTGGCGATATATATTTTAAAAGCCATTACTGCATATGACAGCAGGAGATACATTGGGATTGCCGAGATATCGTGTCATTTAAATCTTATTCGATTCATCGTTTTAAGCTGGCTTTAATCATAAATTGGCTTGCGTCGTCGAAAATAATGCAATAAAATGAAATAAATGTCGATCGAACACCTGAGGTTGCAATAATAGAGGCCTGTGAGGATAAATCTGTTTAAGCTTTAGATTTCAGTCTTTATATATGGCTATATTTGGTTATACCCTCAGCACGTAAATAATTTCCTCTTCATTACAGCCTCTCATTAGTAATATTTTTGCATTCGAAATGATTCAATAATATTATTCACTCGCAGTGTCATCATTTCAACCACATGAACAGGTGTATTTATTATTAGTAATTATATGCTGATCCCAATTTAATTACAGCTGAGCGCACCGAGATTATGATGTAATATTTGTGATAGGGCCGCCATCTGGGTGGGCTTACATATGCCAAACATCAAGTTCAATTTCAGTGATGAGGCAGCTGGATAAAATGAAGTTTGCCCAGTCAAAATTTGCTCAGTCATGGGTAAACAGATTTGGCCATCAGCTGCATTACGCATACGCCATGAGATCCAGCCAGTAGTCAGTAGTCAGTTGTCAGTGCACTCTATGCACGCCAGCCCTGTGCTTGCAGCTCAGCCCTCGTGTGTTACTACTAATACAGTGCTTCGGTTTCACCTACCACCCCCTACCAGCCCTACCCTGTGTCCTGTGTGTGTGTGTGTAAGTGTGTTGTATCCTGACGATTTAGCTGATTTATGTTGATTTGTGTGCGAGAAAGTTGGAGGAGCGGTGGGAGGCAAAACGATTCCCGGTTGTACACAAAAGCGCACACACGCAGCAGCGTCCCAGCGAAACAGTTGCGTGTGCTTATAGCCAAATCCATTTACACACACACATACACATACATATAGTCCTTTTGCAGGACGACTTCTGGAGCAGGGCAACCAACTGAGACCTACAACAACTGTGCCAGCAGTGCGATACCGACAAAGCTCTCCGTCAGTAGTCGCCTCTCGATGCCGAAAACCCAAAAATCCGAACTCCCAGCCAAAACCGAGAGAATATCCTGTTGTGTTTGAGTGGCAATGCTCGTCGCAGGTTCGTGTCCTGTCGGCAACGGTCGCACCCTGAATTTTCGCGGCTTCGTGATGTAAGTGCCACTGTGCCAGTCGGTCTCTGGTCTCCGCAAAAAAATCAAACACGCCCGAGCTGAGTCCGTGAGCGAGTTGAGTCGAGTCGAGTCGTTAACGCCGAGCGGATCGGAAAACATTTTTTGCCACAAGCCCAGGCATAGATACATTTTCCACCCAATCTTTTTGGTATGGCAAAAAGAAAAAATATCCAAGCAAAAATCCCAAAAACCGATTAAACGAATTTCCAACAAAAATTACCAAAAAAATCCGTGCAATCGACAGCTGACCCCAATAAATTAGCGAGCCCCCCGACACAAAAAAAAAACATACAAAATCAAAGAGAATTTTTGGCAAACGCGTCTCGGGAAAAGGCGTAACATTTGTGGGTGTAGAGAACGCGAGTGTGTGAGTGACTACTACGGGTGCGAGTGTGAGTGTGCGTGGTGGAAAGTCAAAGCCCGGAGAAGCGAGAGAAGCGCTGGATATATGTTTAAATAGCGATACTATGCGATTAGTGCAGAATAAATTATGAAAATTATAATTAAGTAAAGTGATGCCAAAGAAACAGAAAGAAAGAAGAAAGAATCGACTAAGATCCAGCACGCAATACCAACACACATACACCCCCCATACACATACACACATGTCCTGGCACACGCAAAGTCAAAGAAAAAAGCAGTAAATAAATACAAAAGGCAACGGCAAAAAGGAGTCTGTTCCTTCTGCTGCTGCTGCAGTATGTGGCATGTATGTGTGTGTGTGAGTATCAGTGTATTAGTGTGGGCTTTTGCTAGCATGTGTGGGTGAGCGAATTCGCAGACGTCTGCGTGTGTATTCGTTTTGTTTGCTTGTGGTAGGCAGCGTCGCTACGTCTTCGTGAGTTTCATCGTCTTGGCAGCTGCTCTGCCCCGCCTACCTTCCGCCCTAAAGCCCACCGCCCACCTCCTACTTACCACCTACTCCTCGCGGGCCACCCGTTTTTTGCACGCCCTTTGCTTTTGTTTAATTTTCAAGCAAATTGGTGGGGCGGCCTCGTTGATTAGCCCCGAGGAGAGCCAAGAGTGGTAGGGAGTGGGTGATGGGAAGTGGGGAGGCGGGCGGAGGGCGGCCTAGCCCGCATATGCTTTTAATTGCCAAAAACGTGCCCAGCCACACATCAACAGGGCACTAGAGAGGGACCAGGACCAGAACCAGGACCGAGACTGAGACTGAGACTGAGAGAGATGACCATATAGAAAGAGAGGGCGCGAGCGAGAGATCCTGATGATGACAGCGGCCACGAGGTTAATGGCTTAAAGTCTTAGCCGATTTCAGCCCAGCACATGAATATTTGAATGCCAGTTGACTATGAAATCTGGCCTTGTCTCTAGTCAAGCACAGAGACAAATTTTAGGGCTTTATATTAAAATTTATTTCAATTTCAATTTATTTTTTAATTCCTTTAAAATTGTTACCATCTTTGGTACTAATTATTACAGTATTTTTTAATTATTTTTTGTAAAATATGTTAATTTCTTTCTGTGTACTTTCCCCTCAATTGGCTTCCGTTTAATGAATAGCTGAGCACAGTTTTGGGCCCAGCACTCAAGGATCCATAATTTCCATTTGTGAGCAAAGCTAAAATTTTACATTTATTGAGCCGTTTGGGTTAACGAACTGAACTGAACGAACTCCTCTAGTTTTATTGACCGGTTGGATACTTAATCAGTTCTTTGGCCCAAAATATATACATCCTACAATATATAGGAAGGTCTGGAGAGGAAGGAGGTTCCATGGAAAGGGTTTGCCTGTAAAATCGTATTAAGTAATTAGAAAGTTGCCAGAGGCGCATTAAGTATGCAAGTTCAAGTTAAGGACTGCATATTTAAAGGCCTTGTTGTGGGCCATCAAATATGTAGGGGGTAGGCGGAGGCGGAGGGCATGGCGAGGCCAAAACTCATTAATAACTGTCGTCGTTTCGCATACAATATGAAAGTATTTATGCAAGCCAAACAATGGCGGTTTATAAAAGCGGGTTCTCGGTCCTCGGTCCCCAGTCCTCTGTGCTCCCGTCTCCAGTCTCTGGCATAAATTTTCCCCTTCCGAGCTGACTTTCGAGCTGCAAGTGAAATGTAAAATGTCGAATGTGAGCGTACACACGCAACTCTTGCCATTTTAATTAATGTCAAACTCTTATCATTGAATATAAAATATGCACATATACGAGGGGAGTGAGAGAGCGAAAGGACTAAAGGACAATACTCACATATGCATATGGAATTTACATACCCAGGCCTTACCCGAGCCTTAGCTCGCTTTTCTTTGTCAAGTTGAACAGGCAGAAGGAAACAATGCTCATTCCCGCTCACCCGTTGCCTTGACAAATCCTTTCTGTTTTTCTTTTTTTTTTTTCGTCCTGTTTTTGTGTTGGATTTGCCGCAAAAAGCAATCAAAGCAAAGGCACAAGAAAACGCATGCTTACCAATTAACGAGATATGTGCGAATGTGCAGGAAAACGCGAGAAATTTAGCAAAAGGACAAAAACACTCAGAAGACCGACAAAAAGTGGCATACAAATCAAATGTGCTTGGGGAAAAAACACATGCGAAAAATTTATAAAAACAAAAAAACCAATACAAAGGCCCACTAACACACACTCGCACACACACTTCTAGATGATAGATATGGGCTAAGAGGCAGGAGGAAGGTGGAAGGTGGCACAGGCTAGAAAGGACTTTGGAGCCAAGTAGCAAACGTTTATGCTAAACAGAGTGTAACTGCCGGGGTTGCCAGAGCTGAGAGTGCACGGTGACATTTCTGCAAAAAGCCAGAAAGGATAACAACAAGGTGCCACAAAAGGTCCTGTGAGAGTGCTCTACCTCTCTCTTGCTCTCGCTGTCTCGTTGGCAGTTTGCTTGCAGAAAATGTAGCACACTTTCAGGCTCAGTCTCGGGCTCGGGCTATTTTTGGCGAAAGACTCTCACTCTCGCTCTCGCTGTCTGCAAAGTCTGCTCGGCTCGGCACCTAGCTGGCCAACTGACTGCTGGCCCAGTGGATGTCCTGCCAAACGGTTTTCAAACGCTCAGCTGAGAAAATGTAACGGACGCTAGCGGCTGGGACGAAACTCACTGGCATACAGAGACGGTACAAGAGAACCCAGAAATTCAGCAAAAGGAGAAAACTTCCACAAGAAACGGCAGCTCGACAAAATCTATACAAAAGTGTCCGTGTCTGTGTCCGTGTCCGTTTCTGTGCCTGCGTCTGTGTCTGTGTCTGTGTCCGTGTGTGTATGTGCGTGTGTATAAATTAGTTTGCGTACGTGTATGGGTGTGCGAGGATGTTCTTTAGAAGTAGCGTGAAATTTTCAAGCAAAACGCGACGCGCCCTGATTCGAGTTCTTTGTTCGTAAAAAATCATAAAAAAAACTCGACAAAAAGTGAATATAAAATTGGATAATAAATAAAAACAAATAAAACAACAAGAAATACTAATCTAAAGTCATAACTACAACTAATATTATTATTTATTTCAACATTTTTAGTGTTAATGACAAAGAACTAAGATAAGACTTAAGCTAGAAAGTATGCCCCATAGTTCCCCGGAAAGCGTAGAAGCCGCATTACAATTTTAGACACAAAAAATAAAAAAAAACAATGCCAAAAGTTAAGGCGAAACCAATAAAATGAGCCAAGTCGCCTGCAACAACAACACCCACAACAACAACCGAATCGGCAACAACAACAGCGACCAGGTTGCAGGCCCACGGGAAACACTAACAACAAGAACAACAACAATAAACCAAACAACATCGAATGCTGGAAGGAAATCAACAAAAATCGACACAGAAATATTGAACGAGCGATGAGATGGAGCGTCCGATTGGATGACGAACTCAGAAATCGACAAAAACCAAAAAAAAAAAAAGAACCGAACAATACCAGGGGGGTGGGAGATCTGCAACTGAAACCGAAAACTGAAACTAAAAACCACAGCGGAACTCGGAACTGGGAACTCGGAACTCGGAATAGGAAATCTGAAGAGGACCCCTGGACCCGTAACCGTAATCGTAGCCCCCAAAAAAAAAACAAAATCGTATAGTAGCAGCAGTGGCAGCCATGAACAGTGCGGATATTTTGTAATTATTAATGAGTGAGCGGGGTGAAGAGGGAAAAGCGGTGAACAGAGCGATTCGTAGCGGGATATCACCATGTACACTCTGCTGGAGCTCGACTAGCACACACTGACTCAAAACACACACACACACAGAAGCCCGCACTCACCCCGAATCAACAACAGCAACAACACCCAGGATTCCCCACAGGACATAAGCAGAAGCAGTAGCAGCATCCCAGGCAGGAATAAAGGAAGAAAAGCAGCAAACGAAAGGCTCAATTTCAAGGAATTTGCAAAGCGCTCACACTCCCATACACACACACACACACACACACACTAACACTAACTAAATAAAACACACAAGCACACTGACACACTAACACTGGCACATGAGCGGGCATCTCTCGTCAGGATAGAAGTAATTAAAAGTAAATAAAGAAGGCAAAAAGGGGAAAACCAAAGGCGAAAAAGAAAATTCGCTGGAAAGACAGGAAGTAACCTGATTACGAGAAAAGCAGAGTGAAGCAATTAATGCCGCAGGAGCTAAAAAACGAAGAAAAAAAGGAAACCGGAAGTGGGATAGCATCAGGATCTGCCCACGATCTGGAGATATTGGAGACTGTAGAAGGGAATCTTAAACGCTAAAAGGAACCATACACACACACAACCACACACTCTGAGCACCACTCACACACACACATGCACTGAAGTACTGACTGAATGCCTCGCTGCCTAAAAACAACCAAACTAACTCACTGACTGAGAGACTTCAAAGCGCCGGAGAACGGAAGGATAAAGGAGCCTGAGCCCTGACAAGTAGCGGAGCAACAACTAAAGGAGTAACCTTGACTAATAACAACAACAACAACAGCAACCAACAAACAAACAACTACAACTTTACTTTATACGCAACTAAAAGAAACAAAAAACGAAAAACAAAAAAAAAAAACTTCAATTTTTAATGCAAAACTACAAAGAGCCACGGCATCAATTTTAAATAAGAAAACTTTTGCACACTCCCGGATAAAAAAAAACCCAAAAAGAAAACCAAGTCCCGAAAATTTCAACTTCCATCACAGCACCACCATGAGTGATTCAAGAACCGAGAAATTGGCCAGGCTGGCCAACCTGCCTGCCCGCACCCCGCTGCTGACCATCTGGCTGGCGATTAACATGGCCCTGATCGCCCAGGAAACGGGCCACAAAAACAGGATCCACACAGTGCAAGCGGCGTAAGTATTCGAACCCACTCATAATTATTCACAATTCTGATTCACTGAGTACTGGGCGTTATTCATATTCAATGGCATTTACTCAATTAGTGACATTTAGAACTATCAATTAGGCTAATAACATCATAGAGGGGCGAACTCGGCTCTAATTCGCATTAAATTATGGCCAAATAATGGTTAGCCATGGCTACCCACCCGCCCATTTAGGCCACCACCGCCCCCCTCCCGAAAAGTTCCAACCCCGAAAAACTTTTGCCGGACAAAGAAAAAGTATAGTTGGGCAGTTATAATAACAATAAATTTGTTTCGGGGCTGACACTTTGCTGCAGTGGCCTACCTTTCACCTGCCCCTATCGCCACCCCCCAAGGCGACAGGTGCGTGCCACATAGGTGTTTGTTTGGGGCCATAATTCATGGTAATTTATGATTATTCAAATCATTTTGCTGCAAAATGCGCTCAAAACTTTGTCGGCCTCGCTAATTAGCCAGAATGACAGTCGACCAGTTGGCCTTTTGGACCTGGCTGGCAGTGAATAAACGGAAACTGGCTCCACTCGACAGCTTGAATAAGTGCAGGCCATTTATTAGGCCACTCGCTCGCTGGAGTTTCGGGCTGGCCATATCTACATCGTCATTGTCACATTTGCATGTGGCAGTCATTAAAATGTGGCAGCAACAGCAGCAGCCGCAGCGGCGCTAGCGACTGAAAAATGACAACTGCCACTCGATGGTCTTGTAATTACTCACACAGTTACACAGTGACACAGTCCAAAAGGACATACATACTGTGTGTTTATGTTTGTTTTTGGAAAGCATGGCGTGGCATGGTGGCATGCGGTATGCGGCATAGTTATGGTCCTTAACGATTGACAGTTGTCAGCTGTCAACGCGATAGCCACTGAACCAATACGCCCGCTGTTACCCTCGAGGGAGGTCCCTTCCTGCCCATGGCGGGATGTCCTTTGGGCTGTCCACCGCCACAGTAACCGCAAAAGCGGACAACACATTCGGACAACGCAAAGAAATTGCCGCAATTGTGGCATTAGTTGTCAGCTACTGTGGCGTTCTGTCAACTTAATCACACAAATTATGCAGAGCCGGGGCTCTGGTTCTCCTATTTTTTCTACTTTTCGGTTTTTTTTTGTCCTTTTTTTTTTGGGTTAGCGCTCATTAGTAAATATTTAGGCACAAACATTTGCATAACATGGCAACCTGGCAAATTAGGCAAATCCAATGGTAGTGGGAGGACGTGGCAGTACCACCTCTAGTTGGCTCTGAATCCGAATCTGATTCCGAGTACCGAATACCGAGTACGAATGCGAATGCGGCAACGATTGGGGTACAAATGCACGTTTATGGGATTACAAGATCGCGTGCTGGGAACGCAGACGAGGACACGGAGATACACGCGACGTGGCATGATGTGGCTTATATGGACTGTGTGGCTGGAGCTGGAGCTGGGCTGGAGCACAGTTGTAGCGTAACAAGAAGTCCAAAATCGAAAATGTCGTGGCAAAAAGTCAAGCGGCTCTAAGGCCGTTTATTTGGGGCAAAGGCAAAGGCACTGGCACTGGCACTGGCACTGGCAACTGGCAACGACAAAGCCAGAGGCAGAAGCAAAGCCAGTATAGAAGGCAAAGGCCTCCAAAGATGGAGCAAAAGTTTACGCTACTTTTTCATGCAACATTGCACAGGCGCCGCCACAAAGTATGCAACACAAAATGACAGCCTTGCCGAGTCAAAGTCCCCAGGACCCTCTAGCCCCAATCCCATTCTGCCAGCCAAGCTTCTCCTTCTTACCCTCCCTCCATCACCCCCTTCTTTTCGCTCCCCTCAAGCACAAAAAGGTTAAAGGCCAGAGCGACACAGTTTGCTCACTTTACACGCTGCCACTTCCTGTGCGGCAGGCTGCTGGGCTGCCTCCCAGCCTGGCTGCCCCATTGCCTAGCCTGGCTGTTTCTGCTTTCTGCCACGACAGGCCAGGCCACGCCACGCCCTGCTGGGGCGTCCCGTTGTGCTCCACTTGCCACACAAGTGCCCACTTCACTTGGAATTTATTGATAGCAGATAATGCCAAAGTGGCAGCGACAAAAGCAAAGACCGCCTGTCGTTCGGGCTCACTATTTGAGTTTGCCACCGTATATTTGTGTGTGTGTGTGTGTGTGTCTGGTGTGTGTGTGTGTTTGTGTATTTTTGTGGGGCAGCTGCATCAACAGCTCGCCGTCGAGTGTCATTGAGCGTAAATTGTTGTTCCTTCACATTTTGAGTATGATTGAAAATATCTACAAGCGGCAGCCTCCTCGGATCCTTGTGTTTTCCCAGCCGTTGCCATTCTGCCTTCTACCTCTTTTCTATTTTTTTTTTGTTCGCTTGCCAATCGCCATTCCACATGCTTCCATCTGCTTTTCAAATATTTAATAAAGCCCCGACAAGGCAGGTCTAATTTTTTCACATTTGGCCCCCACCGCTAATACAATCCTGGCGAGGGGCCGGGGCACAACTATTTTTATTGGCCCGCCTGGAGGCGAGAGATATCCGCGCCTTAGTCCAACGCCATCGCCATCGCCATCGGCATCGCCTGATTCTGGTCCTGCTAGCTGGCAGGATAGCTGGCAGTCCTGCTGTTCATTTTGCAAAATGTCAAGGACTTGCCAATGCAATTCAATTTTTTATGCATTTACCTCACCTCGAATACGAAATGGGAATGGTGGTAGTGAGAATGAGAATGGGTTTGGGTATGAGTATGGAATTGGGATTGGGTTTAATTTAATCAAAAGGCCAAACGATATTTCCGGCAAGGCAGCGTGCAAATTTCGAAAATAATTGATTGGAAACCAATGGGAAATGGCAAAAGGAAAAGCAATATTAGAGCCACCTTTGTCAGCAAAAAATTTCAATTCGAAATGACAAAATATTTACATATTTTTTAAATTCATATTTAAAGTTAAAGAAGCAAGGATAAGGTGTTCTTAAGAAATAAACTCCAAAAATCAAAAGCCCAGGGTAGTCAAGATTTCCTTAAACATGGCCATAAACTGGGGCGTGGCTGAAATTGCCCAACTGGCTCGGATAGCTCATAATAGTTAATGTTTCCATGTCCAGGCGGCCATCCTGTGTATCCTGGGAGCTGTTGGCTGCTAGCTTCTGGCTTATTAAGCGGATATGTTTATTTTTAGCGACTGTCAGGCGGCTGTCAGGCATCAAGTTATCACTTTATTAAAAATCGCTTACTCACACTCGCCCTGGGGGGCGGTTGTAAGTAGGGTTGTTGGTTTTTGAAAAAATATCGTATTGATGATATTTGCTGTGAAAAAAATATCAATCGATAATATTCAGAAATATCACCCAAAAAAATCGATATATCGAGTATTTTCGATATTTTTTATAGTCAGCTAAATTTGAAAAAAGGTTATTTTTAAATTTAAAAAAAGGTTTTAATATGTGTTTTCATCCGCCATGAACTGCAAACAAGACATATTTTTTATTTAAAAAGTGAATTGAAAAAACAACAAATATTTATACCCACTCTCAAGCAACTTTTATTTAAGTTCTTTGAAATAAAAAATAACAAAATTATTAAGGACATTGTATTCAAATTTTTTTTTTTAAAAAAACTTAATACAAAAAAAAAAGTTTCATGGAATTCATGGAATATGTACTTAATAATTCTAATTACTTAATTCTCTTATTTAATGCTCTTAATTACTCTTAATTACAAAATAAATCTTTCTTCAATGATTTAAAAAAAACTCTTTCGGTTATATGCTGGTCTGTCATTCGACTACGGGAGTCACAGACAATACATTTAATGGCAGAAGCCAACCGTTCAGATGGAAACGAACTTCCAGGCGTGATAAGAAAACTTAAAGCAACCTTCGCTAGCATCGGCATCGTTGAAATTTGTGAGTTCCAGAATTCCAACGGATTTGTCTCCCAACTACAAAATGGCATACTCAAGTAAACCTGCATTTCCTTTCTTTCGCAACAAATATCGGAGAACACCAACTCAAAAATATTATTATCGACTATTTTTGCCCAAAAAATATCACGATAATAATATTTTTTTAAGAGAAAATATATCGATATATCGATATTTTGATATATTTCCGACATCCCTAGTTGTAAGGGGCGGAATAGGGAATTGGGAGGCTGGACAGAGCCACAGAGGCACAGAGCCCATAGACACCCACAGAGTGCTTTACTGCGCAGCAGAAAGGCCTAAACCAACTTTTGCTTATCTCTGCGTTGGCGTTTGCCTCAGTTTCCCAGTTTTTCCACAGTTTCCCTTCAGTATTTCCAGCTTCTCGGCTGCCAAGAAAGAAATGCTGGGGAAACGGAGACAGCAGCAGGCGGCTGCTGTGGCAGTGGCAGTGGCAGAAATGAAGACAAAGAAAACGCTAAAAGAAAGATAATATTTGCTAGTAGTTTTCGCATTTCCGCTTTGTTTTAACGTTTCACTTGAATTTATGCAATGGCGCGTGTCCAACGCAGCGTATACGTAATGGCTGGCACTCAAAGTGCCACTAAAAACGACAGCGACAGCGAGAACGACAACAAACAATAACGACAATATTTCTCACAGGACACAACGCATACACATACACATACACACATTTGCTGACCAGCCACGCCCACCCACACACATACAGAGACTTACTCACACAATGGCACACTACAAACGTGCAGCGCCTCAAGATAAGGCAACAAACTGTGGGCAGCGATAAGATGGCGTGGCACTTGAGGCGACACGTTTTGGGCTTGGCTGTCGTGCGCATGACTTTGCATTTTGGTTTTGTTACAGTTACGGTTCTGTTACCGTATATTTCTTACTTTCTTTTTTGCCATAAACATATATATTCTTTTTTTTTTTTTTTGTTGCTGCTGCTCCTGGCTTCCCTTCTGCTTCAGTTGTTGCTTCTGGCTTTATGGCTGTTTTCCGTTTTGTTGTTGGCCCAAAGTGCTAGCTGGAAAAACAGAAATTGTTTCCCACTTACGTGCGCGCAGCTAATTGCATGCCAGATGCAGCACAAATGCACCTACACAACGACAAATATGTGGCAGTAATTTACTGGCCAAATGGGAGTTTTGGTAACTCGGGACATGCCAACTAAGGCGGCCATTAATATTGCACCAATAAAGAAATTAGAAGTATAGTTTATTAGCAAGGTAACCTAATGAATTTCTTGGAAACACTCTTCTGTCCTAAGGACTTGAGATCCTGATGACTTTGATAAACTGATTGGAGAACTTAAGCTTTCGATGGGGCTTTTCTTTCACTGTATAATCCTATAAGAGGCCACACTTCTGGCGATTGGCATCTGGAGGCCCGGCTCTTCTCGTATTTTTGTGCTCTTTAGCTGCCTTCGATCAATAGGCAAATATTTGACGCCTCAAGTACGACCTATTGACATTTTCTAGTGCACTTAACGACAAGCATGCCCCAAACACACACACACACACACTACTATACACGCATGTGAGTGTGTATGAGTGTGGGGCTGCATAAATTATTTGACAATACGTTGGGCATAATATTAGTTTCACTTAGCCGTCCGTGAAAGGCACACATTTGCATATTACGTATACGCCACGTTGTACCGTTCTGGCCCGGGAAATGGGTATAGAGCGGCGTAAGCGGAGTTGGCGAAAAGTTTTTGGCGCGTCCTTCAAGTAATTTTTATTGCAGGCTGTCAAAAACTTATTGACAGCACCTGCCAGCCAAAGTAGCAGCAGTGCATAAATTAAACTTTAATGGCTAGAGCTAGAGCGTGGAGTATGGAGTGTGGAGTGTGGAGTGTGTGGCAGAAAGAGGTTGTTACGACAAAAATCGTAACCCACAGCAGCGGCAAAAATTGCGCATACGCAGCATTGTACGCAGGCAAACACCCAATCAAAAACTCAAATCAAATAGCAATCAAAACTTTTTCATTATCAACATCAGACAAGAGGCCCAGGCAGGCAGGCACTCGTTCAGGCCCAGGACCAAAAAATAAAAACCACAAAAAGAGAAAGCCAACAACAATAGCAACAGAGTATTTTCATGTACGAGTATATTTATAAATACGCTGCCATTTTTGCCGTCGGCTTTTGCTTTGATGCCCACGCTGCGTATACACAATGGCCCGCAATCGACTTGGGTTAAAGCTCAAGTGAAAGTAGGAGAAAGAGGGAGGGGGAGGGAAGACGAGAGAGCGGACGAGCAAAGAGAGTATGGGTCGTGGCACGCCCAGGCTTGATTACAAAAATTATAGCCGACTTTTGTGGGCTGCAAAATTAAAATCATATCAAATCAGCCACAACAATTGACTGGTGAATGTGCAAATTAGGAAAAATATATATATATACATATATATATATTTATTTATATAAACGTATGTATGTATGTATATATATTTATAGAATCTATAAATATATACCCGATGTGCCAAATGAAAAGCAAACAAGACACATGCCAGCGAAATGAGACACAGGACTCCCGAAAAACGCGCACGCGCGCTTAAGAGACAAAAATTGTGCCTTTTCCTTTGCCGTTGCCGTTGCTGTTGTTTCTGTTTATTTGCAGGCGCAACTTTTATTAAATTGTGATTTTGCTCACCACATCGCTGGGTGAGCTTCCCGCTCCCCAATCCCCCACTCCCCATGCTTCCTCCCCCCGTTTTCAAAGACCCACCAGAGCCGAGTCTGAGCTGTGTATCCAATGGATTTCTGGCTTCTGGCAGAGTTGGAATAACAACAAACGCGCTTTAATAGCACAGTTTAGCGTAGAATAGACGCAAATAAACAGGCATTCAAGTGCCTTCGCTTGGCAGTCAACTGGCGACGTATGCCTGTGCCTTCATTGCCAGGCACATGCAATAAATATTACATACAAACGCTCGTGTTGGGGCGCACTTGATGCCGCATAAAGCGAAAGTAGCACAAGCACACACACTCACACCCACACAGCTCTGGGCATACACTCTGCACCCACACAGTGGCACTTAACCTGCAACGACTGCCGAGCGCAATGTCTGTGTCGACTGTCAGTCGCTTTTTTTCTAGGAAACGCTGAAAGTCCTGCCACACAAACACACACAGGCACGCAGGAAAAAAAAAAGAGATCTCACACACGCTTGAAAATGATGCACAGCAACAAATGCTTGAGCAAACATTCAGGTTTCAACCAGTACAGTAGAGCTTAGCTAAAGAGAAGTTTAATAAGAAAAGTTTATTAAGATTTTAAAAATGATTTTAGATCTGGCACTATTTCTTTACTATATCTAAAAGTTCTATAAACCTAGTCTCTTCTAAAGAATCTCTACTGTATTTACCAACATCAGAGATTCTCATTCCATTTGCGTTGCCTGACAAATGGGTTGCATTGTTGACTTTTGAATTGAATTGAACTGGTTTGAGGAGCTCACTAATGAAATGAAAACTCTTTCTTTCTTTGCAGAACTGGCGGCGGCAGTATGCTGGGGGACGTAAACATATCCGCTATCCTCGACTCCTTTAGTGTTAGTTACGACAAAAGAGTAAGACCCAATTATGGTGGTAAGTAGACCAATTTGCGGACACTGAATGTAGATATCTAGTCACACTTACCCAGCTAAATGCAAAACTGCAAACCCAAAACGCAACGCGACTTGAACGAAACGCAAATGGGGGCACAGCCCACAGGTTAATGAAATAAATCCAAAAAGGTTTTAGGGACAGGGTAAAGGGTTGAGGCGCAGCGATTATACAAAAAAAATATATATATACCACTGAGAATTACTAATGAGACTATTAAACATAATTTTTACAAATAGCTATATAACACCTACTATAAAATACGTGTTTGCAGGACCTCCTGTCGAAGTCGGAGTCACCATGTATGTGCTATCGATCAGCTCGCTCTCAGAAGTGAAAATGGTACAAACTAATTGAACTTTGTACCTTTCTATTATTGTTACCGTTAAGCGCTCTCTCGCATACTATCTCTAATTATCTACCTACTCCTAACTCTATCTCTCTGTCTTTTGGTCTTTGTTGTTGGACTTTACTTTCTAGTTATCCTTTTATTAAGTTCTTTTAGTTATTTTACCACTCAACGCATTAGTTAATACACGCTCTATAACACACACACACCCCAGAAACACACTAATCTTGATTTAAAACCTAACAACCTGTTTTCAACTGTTTTGCTTTGTATCTTGGTAACACTCTCATCCATATATATCGATAGATTAGACCGATCTATTGTTTCTAACCCGTTAACAAAAGTACACCAGTTGAAAGTGTTATTTGCGATTTTATCCACACACCCCCTACACTTACCTATACTGTAATTCCTTCGATTTAAGTTTTACGTTTTTGTTATATGTGATTTGTGTTTATATTTCCTGATTTTCAGATTTCCTGATTTCCTATTCAGTTCTCTCCTTTTTGGTACTAAATCTCTCAAGCTGTAACTCTTCCGAATGTTTAGTTCCGTTTTTATAGCCGCTGTGTTTTTTAGTGTTTTTCTCCAACAACTTCTCCACAGTTGAATTTGATTTTACTTCCGAAATGAATACTTAGCCAAGGTCTGTTTTGCTAGGAGCTGACTCGATTTAGGCCATACCCAGAATTTATAGGCACTCTCCGAAACCCGTTTTTGGCAAAAACCCGGGCAATCTTCTTGCCTCTCGATTGTTTTTCTCAACTTTATAGTGCAAGAACCACCCATCCCCCCTTCAGCATCGTCTTCAACACATTGTAAACTAAATGTCAACTCTTATAACTCTCTCTCTCTCTCTGTATACCCTCTATATATTATATATTTCCATCAAATCAACGATTGGCAAAAGCTTTTTATGTTCCTTAAGCTCGACAAAATGACTTCCTATGTGCTCACCGTTTACTTTTTACCTCTGTGTGTGTTTGTGTATGTCTAATTGGCCAAGCACAACTCCAAAATTACCCACAACACACACACATACGCCCATGCCCACTCAAACTCACCCACATACCTTCCTAAAAACTAAAAAAAAACTATAAAACCATCAACAACATTTCAACCCTTTCCGGAGCATTCTTCCTACCATTTCTATGTACAAAAATATCGAAGCATAGCATAGCATACGTATTCCCCACAAGTACCACTCCAAAAGAATCTAAAACTAAGCAATACTCTTGCCTCTCACTTCATGCGTATTGTTTCTGTCTTCTTCTTTTTATAGGCCCCACCTATAAACTCAAATTCAAAGCTTCAAGATACATTTTATAGCCTTACTGCTGCCAAATCGCCATTCCCAAACAAAAAACCAAACAAATATATTTTTATCTAAATGCAAAATAAAAATAAAAACTAAAAATACAAACAAATGGTGTGTGAAATCCGCTAATCTAATTCACTTAAAAATTAGTTTAAAATTTAAATAGATGTTTATTTGTTAGGTGCCATATGTTTTTTTTTTTCGTCAATAATGTTTTAGAGCAACTGCAACTTTTTCGTATAGCTGAGCATAAAATATACCAAAAATATACATAAAATCAGAGTAGTAGACTGATTTGGTTTTCATTCGGCGCGTGCATTTAAAAACAAAGCAAAAGCCTAAACACATTAAAAATAAAATATAAAAAATATATATATAAAAAACAACAAATAACAGAGCGCACCGCTTGCCAATTTAACTGTTTCAACCGTACATTATATATTTAATTTTGCTAATGGAAATTAAAGAGCACCCGAGACGAGCTAAAGGAAATCCAGATGACTTCCTAAAAGTAGGCAGCGAAAAATAATGTACAATGAGCGTCCTGCGTAATGCGTCGTCCATTGTTTCTTGTACCGCTGTGTGTGTGTTTCTGTTCCTCATACATACATACATCTAAATATATATATATATACTTTTTGGGTTTTAGTCACATCTAAGCTAACATGAACAACTACAGATACAGATAGTACAACTACAACAACGACAACAATCCACAACGAACCAAAAAAAACCAAAACCAAATAACGAGCAAAATGAAAATTCCATCAATCCGTGTGTGTGTATATGTTGCAGGTCCCCCTGTGGAGGTTGGCGTCACAATGTATGTCCTCAGTATCAGTTCGGTTTCGGAAGTTCTCATGGTACATACGTTAATATATACCAAAAAATAAAAAAATTAAAATAAAACAAACTACAACTACAATTTACAACAGATACAAACAAGAGAAAAATAAACATTTTTCTTTGTATTGTGTTTTATTCTTCCTTTGTTTTTTCTTAAATTCAACTCTCAATGAAAGAAAATCAAAAATTAATTCATAAATCTACTCGTATACTTCTTAATTTCTCTCAGTCTCTCCACCTCTTACCTGTAACTATCTCTCGCTCTCTCTCTCTTTCTATATATCTATCTCTCTCTTCCTGTCTTACTATCTCTCTATATATAACTCCCATATCTTAAAACTATATGTTTATATCTCAATGTCTGTCTCTGTTGCTTAAAAGCTCATTTTGTGTCTTAGCATATTTTATAAAAAACTCCATTTTTTTCTTAATTTTCGATAATTGGCCAGAGACATAAAAATTCTTTACAATTACGTTGATTCACTTTTGGTTCGTTACGACCATTCAAAGCCAACTGCAAACCACCCGATATACAGTATAAATATATATCTATATACATAATTATACCAATTATAAATATATCCAAAAATTTCCAAATTACAAAAATTAAATGTTGTGTGAAACGAATTGTTATTGCAATGCAATTGCCAAACAAAAAATATATCAGATTCCAGTGTTGCATATTCGTTTTGTGTTTATTGTTTCATTTCAATGTTTATACATAGGCAATGATTGTTCGCAATTGTTTGTTGTTCCATTTCATTTACGCTCCAAGCAGTTTACGCCAACAAGCTTCTTCTCAACTCAAACAATACTACCTCAACAACAAAAAATACAATAAACGAAATACACAAGTTGAAATTCACATTTGAAATTATGTACTTTTAACCGAAAAATACAAAAATTTGGTGTTAATCTTTGAGCTCAGAATGTGTGCTGCTCTCTCTTTCTTCGCCACTCTGTTTATCTCTTTCTCCTCCTACTCAACTACCATACTATGCTGCGTATACTGTCGCTTTGAAATGCCATTTCTATTCGTTCAGTTTGTTGCCTTTTGCGTTCCATTACGTTTCATATTCCTCCTTGTCTCCATCGCGCCCTATCACTGCCCCTGCCGCCTACCACCCAACTACCATTTCCATTTTCATGGAAAATTGCGAAAAATCAATCAATCTAATTGCTGTATAAATCTTTATTTATCGCCCCATCGAGTACATCCCATCACCATTATCATTATCGCCACCACACCCGCACACTGACACAATGCTGGGCCTCCAAAAAGTCGAGAAACGAGAGATATTTATGCCATATTCATATATCCTTATATCTATACTCTCATATAACCGTCATTTTGCTACCCAATTGTACTTGTTGTTATCTCTGGTATGCAAAGTGCAATACAAAATCAAAATAACCACAGCAGTCCCATTGACGAGGTCTGCGCGCATGCGTATTTGTTATAAAATCAAGTGGAATATAAATGAATATGAATGAATATCAAAATAATCCACACAGCATATACTATAGCATATATAATCAGCTCGGTGTCGATGTGTTCGTCAAACGATATATGGACTAAATATTCATGTACAAGGGACTTGATGCTCATTTATGCCTGTTTCTGTGTTTATTTTTTTAGTTTACTTTTCATTTTATCCTTTTGCGGGGACACTGAGACAGGGACGATGGCCAAGAGATGTTTAGTTTTTTTTCCTTCTAATCAAAAATACTCTATATGATATTGGATTTTTAAATAAAATAAAAATATTTATTCTGTACGCCGCACGTTCTTATTTGTTATGTATTTTTTTTCTTACAGCTTCTAAAAGATATTTTCCAAATTATTTAATTACTAAACATATACCATAAGTGGGATAGAATTAGGCCTCAAAGGGGATACTTTTATGTTATTTATTCTTAACTACACTTTCAATCGAATCACTACCCTTTTTCATCAATTTTGCCAGGATTGAGTGTGAAAAATAGAGAGCAACCAGCAGACCGAATTAATTGGCAAATACGAAGATGATTTTTGAAAAGCAATTAGATTTCGCTGCACTTTTGCTGCATAAAATCACAAAAAAAAAATACAAAAATTTTGAAACACTCTCTCACATTTAAGAAATGTTCGTATGACACAACTGCACCGTTTGGCTTTGGCAATCAATTTATGCGAAAATAACATGCCCAACACGAACGTAAACATGAACACACTCTCGTATACACAATCCAGCAAAAGTAACTACAACTTACAACAAACTTACAGGAACAACAACATGTTCATTTCCAGTCCGATCATTTCTTACATGACAATTTTTCATTTCCACATTTTGTGTTTTGCTCAGAACAGAATTGCTACGCTGCTAATGAAAATAATTCAAAAATAAACTGAGCCAATGCCAAACCGAAACAAGAACAACAACACGCATACACACAGATATACACACACAACAAGTCAGATACTCACAGATACAGGATACAGAATACAGGATACAGATACACAATGACAACGCAGACCAAAATTTACATAAGGCAACCCATCCAATCCAATCCAAATTCAGCCGAGCAGCGAGGCAGTTAAAATCAACATGACACAGTCCCAGAAAACAAACAACAACATGAGGTTACAAAACAACGAAAAAAAAAAATGGGTAACAAGGACCAAATACACCATGCCACATGCCAATATATATCTATACATATGTAAATTGTAAATGGTATAAAAAGATATATAAAAAAATAAAACAAACAACTCGATAGACCCTCTCACGTTTGGGGTTAATTGTGATGCCATTGTAGGCACATTTCCATTTATATATACTCGTTTACTGACATGCACATAAGTATTCGTATTTAGAGTTGATTTTGTGTATGTGCCAAGAATAAAAAATACCAGGTTGACCCCAGTTCCCCAGAGAACCCCTTTTTTGCAAAAAAAAAAAAAAACAAATATGTATAAAAAATTTAAAGAAAAAACATCTCCCGAACAGAGTTATGGATATTGCATTTAATCCACACTTGACTTAAATTCCATTATCGATTGCGCTTTAAGTTATTCTTACTAATAGTTTTGAGCTATTATGTTGTATTATAATTAAACATTGGTTGAAAACATTTATGTTTGTGTTTGAGTTTTTGTTTTTGGGCGTGCCATAAGCCGAGTGGAAACCAAATCTGCCAGTTAAACTTCAAAATGTTGATGCGAATGCGGAGAAAATTGCAGGCAACCCACGACCACGAACCGTGTGCAATTTTCGCATCATAAATATTATATTGCCTTTATATACATAATAACAAAGCAAAAAAAAACAAAAACAGAACAGAAAGAAAATTACGTATACGCTCTGTAGACAGACACAGCTAAACGAGCAGCCTCGTACAACTCAGCGTGCGTTAAAGTACTGCCAAAGTACCCAAAAAGCAAGCAGTGTGCGCTCTATAAATATTTATAACTACTTACAAATGTTATTACCTGCTGTAACTACTACAACTACTTCTATTATTATAGCATTTGCATTTACATTTACATTTACCTTTAGCATTTACATTTGCATTTACATGCTTTTACGTTTAATTTTTGGTTCGTTGTCGTGACGCGCTTGAAGATAATGATATGCAAGACTGAGAGAAACAACTCGAGTAGTTGTCTTTACCATATACCGTTGTCCTAACCCCTCTCTAACACACACACACACACACTCGAAATCCACCTTAAACCACCCCACCCACCCACTCAACTCACACACAGATACTACAAATACAAACAGAGCCACACAGCCGAATTGTTTGTCGTTTTACAATCGAATCCCCCAATCGAATCCAAACCAATCCAATCCGTAGCCTAGAAAACGCTTAGCTTCGAGCCACTGCAGCAGGACAAGCAGAACAGCAGAAACTCAAACTGAATATAAACTCAAATAAAACAATGAGTTAAGCCAAACTACCGATACTCCTGTATAAAGCCAGCCTGTTGCCATAGATGCCAAAGTAGTAGTTACCAAAAAAAAAAAAAAACCAAAAATAAACCCCTCCAGTAGCCAGAAAAAAAGCCAAAGCTACTTCACATCACAGCAATGAATCCATACGAATATTTGTGAGAGGTTTCTGTACTACTTATATGCTTACCCGATCCCAATTAAAAGTCCTTTATTGCTACTGTATATAAGCCTTTAACTTGAAACTGAACTATTTATTTTGGATTTCCTTAAGTTTTCATTTAGATTTTAGTTTCCTTATTGACGAGTCCCAATAAGTCTGTACAAAAAGTTTTAATTCGAAGTTTCTGCATGCCATTTAGCCACCCATCCTGTCTTCCTGTATAACTACAAAAAAATAAAATTGATTAAAATTTGAAATTGTTGCACGTTATGAATTCAACTTGATTTCTATTTGCCGCAAGACATTTTCTTTGTGCGTTTGTTAAGTGTATCTGTTGTGCCCAAAAATAACTTTCCGCCTAGTTTCTACAAATTCAAACTCTAAACTTGTTTCCATCTCTGAACTTTCCTATGATTTGTTGAAAATATAAACACACAATACTTTTAGTTATTAGTGGTTTAGTTAACTAATAAGTGCTCACTGCCAATTTTTACTAATATAAATAACCTCTCAATCTCTTTTTGCTACCTTCCCCTATATTTTAAACGAAAACGAAACAAATTGTGAATTAAATAGGACTTCACATTGGATTTTTACTTTCGTCAATTTTGGACCGATCCTCGTTTAGCGTATAGAAAACGACCTGGTGTAGAAACACTGTCGGTTGGATCAGAGTTCATTAAGAATATTTGGGTACCTGACACCTTTTTTGTAAATGAAAAACAATCATATTTTCACATTGCAACAACCAGTAATGAATTCATACGTGTGCATCATTCTGGATCGATAACAAGAAGTATTAGGTAAAAACCAACTCTCAACTACCGCAACTACTGCAACTCCCAAAACTCTAAGCTCTAAATGAAAGCAAAAAAAAAAAAAACAAAACATTAACATTAACATTAATTAATTGTCTGTATATGTGTATGTGTATTTGAATATTTAACAACAACTCACCCTACCAACCAAAAACCAAAAAGAAACTAACCCAATAACCAAAAAATACCTCCAACCTCCAACTAAATAAACAAAAAGAAATACTTCAACATTCTACTCAACCTTCTACTAACGATTTCGTTTGAACAAATTATCATTTTTGGCCCTTTTTGCAACTAACTTTTTTTCTGTGTGTGTATAAATCGATGTTGTAATTTTTTAAATCTATACGAAAATGGAAAAATTCTACAGAACGAAAAACAGTTTTCTTCCAAACGATTTAACGATTATTCAAGTGAGTTCAATTGGCAAGTGAAAGTGAAAGAAAGTTGGCAACTTTTCGAGCGATGCAGCCTCTAAAAATGACAAGCCGTATTTGTACATAGACTATCTTTTAATTTAATCATTGTCAGTCCAGAAAGAAATTAGTGACCGAAGCGCGGCCAATATTTATACTCGATTGGCTAGGGAATTCCTGATTCATTTCACATCATCCATGGGATAGTAAGACTCTCGTATCACTTCGACAAAACCCTCCTACGACAAAAAAAATCTATGTGGCTCATATGTAGTGTAAACAACAAGCATATTCCCTCACCAAAAAAAAAAAAGATATTGAAAATTGTTCAGCATCGACTACCAGGACTCGTGGGTACATACCTGTTGACATCTGTCTCATGTGTATCTGACACCGCAAAAAGGTTTGACTGGCCGCAGTAGCAGGGCTACTGGGCGCACTATTTTCTACTACCTTTAAACAAGAATCTGTCCAAAATAGCAACTAAATAGCAACCCCAGCAGCCACCAATAAAATTAAACCAGACAAATGCAACAATGCCATTACCAAATAGCCAAAGCAACAAACTAAGTATGAGTAGCATTTAATTTTCCGTAGCTGTAAGCAAACTTAAACAACGACTTAACAACCCAACAATCTAAGTAAGCCTACTAAAGCCTACCCTATGATAATGTATTAAGCCCTGCGTAAGAGCCAATCGCCTCACTATTTACAACTAAACTGCCACTCAAAGTATCTCTCACTTACCAAAAAAATAAAAATAAACCAGCAGCAAAAATTATATTATAGCTCATATCCAATTGAACTCGCTCTGTATGTAATGACTTGAACTTGAATCCCCAAGATACCCCCTTTGTATATACTAGTATCTCTGCTCGTTTGTTTGTTGATGTCTTCCCAGCTGCCTTTGAATCTGTTACTAATCGAGTGCTTTCTTTCCCCCAATAACTCCTGCCCAAAAAAATACAAAACTATCTCCTTTAGATTGACAATTACCGCATCGTGTCCGATGAATCTACAATATTTCCCAATGGATCGCCAGCTGTGCCACATTGAAATCGAAAGCTGTAAGTACTATGATCTCAATTATCACTGAACTCTAGCCAAGTAACTAACGCAATAATAATGCTAAGTGAAATCCAAGTAACTATTATGTCGAGAAATGTTAACAATAACGAAACAAAGTAATATGTGAACAAGAAACCAACTCATTCAGAATGTGAAGCAGCCAACTCGGCAGGGGAGTGGCCAAAACGAGGTGTCCAGTTTGGGCCGAAATTCTGTGCTTATTCGTTTCGCCATTTAGCCAAATTGTATTGTAGCCTGCACCTATTATTAGCCAATACCCCGTGCTGGAGCCCCAGCTGCACTGAGTCTTGGCCACTCCAGTTAGCCGAGTTAAATTCAATTCAACAGAACAGAACAGAAACTGAACTGAAATGAATTCAACTCTCAATTCTCAAGCAAAGGCCGTGCGCTGTTTGTTCGGTGTGGGCAGACAATATATACTGAAATCATATGTGAAAATATCCATACCAAAACCAAACCAAACCAGAATCAAGCCAGAACCAAACCAAACCGAAACCAAAACAATTAAAATGCAAGCAAGTAAATTTTAAGTGCCTCGACACAGACACAGAGACAAAGATACAGATACAGCAACAGCAACAGCTACAGATACAGATACAAAAATAAAAACACACAGAGCCTCAAAAAGCAATTAAGATGCCTTTGATGTCAATTGTGAACAGAGCAATTATGTTGCAACAAATAGCAGGAAATCGAATTGAATACAAATTTAATTGTCTTTAGGTGGAGCTTAGGTGGTATGAAATTGAATTTTCGGTTTTAAGGATAAACACAGGCTCTCAATAGATTCTCAAGTACTATTTTTATTTCTCAATATATATATATATATCTTTTGAGTTCGTTGTGCATATTTTGTTCAATCAAAATCAAAATTGTCCCCTCGCCCAAGCAAAAGAAATTAAAATCAATCAATACCAACCAACTCATCCAAAGAGTTCAACTCCTTCCACCTCAGATATTTTTGGTCATTTATGTATTTGTTTTTTGAAACTTCCACGAAGTTGCCAAGTGTCACAGCATCTTTATCCGCATCTACCCGAATGATTTACCCAACAACAGCAATCAACCAGTATCAGTATCTATATAAAAAGTATATCTCACTTATATATCATCGCAAGTGCAGTTCACAATTTCATGGCGCCGTGTATTCATGATGAAAAATTGGTTGGTTTTCGGTCGCCTTCTCAATTTCAGGAACCATGATACCGAAAAACGATAATATATGCCTCTGCCTATAGTTCGATGTCTGTGTTTTTTTTTAATGCGCCCACTCATACCCCCTGTTGGATTAAGTTGAATAATTATAAGTCAAAATACCCCATACACAGCACGCTTTTGCTTAAGATCTATTATTGTATATACGTTCCAATATGCATACCATTTACGTCTAGACCTCCTTTGTCAAAACTCTTGCCAAACACACACACACCCGAAAAACATTAGCCTTAAGACTGTATCTATTCCGAAAAGAACATCAGGAGTGTGTGAGCTAAGTATTCTGTGTTCAAGTCCCCAACAAGCTAATCAACAAAAAGAATACCACCAAACACCAAAACTCTAAAAACATGAAAACAATAAACATCAATTAATTAACTACTGCCCCCCTTTTTGCAACAACAACTACAACAACTCCTACAACAACAATCTTCAAAATCAACAACAATGAAGTCGGTTACACGATGCGAGATATCCGATATTTCTGGAGAGATGGACTGAGTAGTGTTGGCATGAGCAGTGAGGTCGAACTACCGCAGTTCCGAGTTTTGGGACACAGGCAGAGGGCGACCGAAATAAACCTAACCACAGGTACCCCCATACATTAAAAAAATCATAACAACCCAATAAAAAAAATATATATATATCTATCTCTATATGAAAAAAAAAAACAAAATATAATAATAATAACAACATCAATATAATCACATTACCATTTCCTTTGTTTTTTTTTTTAAAACAAGCATTTTTCAACTTGAACTTTTAACCAGTTTTCCATTTTCCGTTTTGTCGTAATGGATTTCGTAATCGTAATTTTGATTTTGTGTTTCCGAAAAAGGGTTAGCGCATATCCGAGAGTAACGAAACACGCACATTTAACCAACCAACCAAATGTTTTGTGTTCTTTTCTCGTCTAATTCTAATTCTAATACTACTACTACTACTTCTCCTTCACCAATATATATGTTTATCGAATATATCTTTATCGAGTGCTAACCGTAACTTGTGCTACTAACCAGAACAATCGAACCCACTTTCCCCCCATCTACTTGCTACCTATATATACATATATATATTGTGTTTGAAGTGTCCTCTACTAACCTCTGTTGTGACTACTCGTTGATTTCATCTCTTTCTTATTCTCTCTTCCATTACATTTCTTTATCCTTTCGTTTAGTTTCTACCGATTTTACGATTAACCGATTACCGATTACTCTTTACTGTTTACCAATTTACCGTTAAATCGATCAGTAAAGCAGCAGTTAGTGGCGTAGTGAGCGATAGCTAGGAACAGCCATTATGATTTTCATTTCCGTTATCGTTTACATTTCCGTTTCCGTATCCGTTTCGATTTCAGTTTCTCAGTATCAGTATCAGTTTCAGTTTTTTTTCGTTTCATTATTTCGTGTCGCAAGAGAGTCCAGTTTCGTTTGCTTGGGTAGGCAACTAAAGCAACTAAAAACGCTAATGAATACTAAGTAAATGACCTAAGTAAATGCCAAAAACAAGAAAAGAAATTTGTAAAAGCCAATGACTAAAATAAACAAATAAAAACAGATGACACAAGAGCACCCATTTCTGACACCAAACATCTAGTTAAGTTTTATTAGCTTTAAGCCAAATACTACTGCCAATAAGAACAAACAGTAGCTGTAAGTCAACCAGAGCGTGCCTACTAAATGCTCCTTAATATCTAACTTACCATTAGTTATGCTTTGCCAATGAAAATTCAATAATTATAATGCATTTTTAGCGCAATTGTAATATACGAACAATTAAGAATTTTAGAATTTCTTCTCGATTAAATAAATCAAAAAATATATTTTTGAACAACACTCAAAGCGACAAGTTCTGAATGAGACTATTAATCAAAAAAAATATACAAACCAAACCAAAAACCAAAAAAAAATTGAAAAATGTTCAAACAAAAACTAATAAAAAGAGAACAAAACACAAACCAGAAAAAAATGGTAATACTCTGAAAAAAAACTGAATTTAATTGAATTGTTATACAATTTTCTATAATAGAATAGAACTTATTAATAGTCTCACGAAATGTATTTTTTGTTTTATGCATATTTTTCAACAACAACTACAACAACGACAACCTCACCACCGAACTGTGCCAACAACAACAACTACAACTACCAAAACAACTGTAAAATAAACTCGTCCAACAATTACAACAACAACAACAACAACAAATACGACAACAAAACTAATACTAAAACCGAAAACACCAAAACCCCAAAAACCCAAAACCAAACACCAAACTGTACAATATGCAATTTCAAAACATAACAACTAAAACCACAACAACGATACAACTTAAACAACAACTACAATTAAAACGTAACTATAATACACAACAACTATATAGTCGGCTACACGATGCGTGACATACGCTATAAATGGAACGAAGGCCCCAACTCGGTCGGTGTCTCGAGTGAGGTTTCGCTGCCCCAATTTAAGGTCTTGGGTCATCGTCAAAGAGCTATGGAAATCAGTCTTACCACAGGTACCTGTAGACGGTTACCGATTTTCTTTTAACTCAAACTTTACTTTTATACCTACCTATATATATTTATATATACATATATATATACAATACCGATGATGACTTATCTATATATAAACATATATCTATATATAACATACTATATATAAATATATCTCTGTTATGATTTTGCGTTTTCTGTTTTGCGTTTTCGATTTCGATTCTACAACTTTTAGGCTCTTTATTTCGATAAGTTTTGCTTATGAGTTTTGATTCATTTATCGATTCGAAATAATTTTCAAGCAGCATTTGTAAAAAGTTATCCCAAAATTCAATCATGTTATGGAACAGGCTTACCAAATCGAGAAGAGTTGGAACTCGAGCCCTGGTTCAAGCCCCCCATGGAGCTTCAAGCAGGGCTCTGAGATGAACGAACTCTGAGATTACTACAAGAAAAGTGAACAGAAAATGCATGTTAAGCATCCTAAGATTTTTACATAATTTCTATTTCCATTTAGCTAGAGTTTGTTTCATCAACTTATCTAATCCATAGCATACAAAATACCAAGCAATAAAGTTAACAACTTAAATAACAATAATAATATTACAAAGTGCATTTAACATTTAAAACTAGTCCACTTTCATAGTCTAGAATCTAGACTGTCTAGCCTGATAGACTCGTCGCGTCTTAGAGCTTTCCCACTTTAACTCGTACCTACAGGATACTACTGTTCATATATCCTTAAACGCAAAATCAACGCATGTTACAAGCTAGCAACAATTTTCCAATTTAGTTTGTTCATCGAATTGTTTTCCTTTCGGCTTACGTTTACTTTCCGATCTCTGAGTTGGTTCCTCCTTTATTTTGAAACGCTCATAAGTTCATAAATTACAGCAAACCTTGACAAGAACAGAAAAACAACCGAAAAATAGAATAAAACCCAATCGTATCATTGGTAATGCCAAAACAAATGCAAAAATCAAACCAAATCAAATGAGAAATCAATATGAAATTGAAAACCAAATCACTTAGCGACCTTTGTATCATAGAACCGAAAAAAAAGCAATGAGAAAAAACTGAAAATCGTATGCAAATTATTAAGAAAGTAATGGAAATAGCAAAGCTTAACTGAATATGGCTTTTCCTTAGTAAATCATGCTTTTGATTTATGCCTGACACATTATTACAATACTTATAATCAATTCAATTTTTTAAGCTGCCAAATGCCCACACTCATACTCTCATACACACACATACACATAATTTTATTAACTAGTCACAGAAATTAGTTTTTACTACCAACAGCAACAGCTATCTAAAAAGTATTTACCAGTAATTTAAAACGCTATCAAAACTCATTAGCATAATCAAACAACAACCAACAACTGACAACAATCAACACCAAACATTCTGTATTGTAAATCAACAAAACAACCACAACAACAGCATTAATATCTAAAATCCAAAAAAAAAATAATCGAACAACCAAAAAAAAGTTATGCAACATATATTTAAAAATTTTACTCAAATCCTAATACGCAAAAAGCATTCAAACGTTCAAAATTATCGAACGAGAAACAATGAGAAGTTCAAAACCATTTTATACATACTTAATATATATATATTTACCTACAATCCAGTTTAAAATATCTTCAGAAAAAAAAATATATATATATCGAAAATACAAAACGCCCTCCCAAGCATGCTCTCATCTTATAAAGTTTCTTTTACAAAATCTTTAACAAAATAAATATATAACTATATAGACAAAACAGCAACAAATTGCAGGCAATTCAAATGCTCCTAATTAGGTCTTAGACTAGCTGCCTCTATTCATGTTTCTTTTATTATTTCATTTGACTCCTTTCTTGAGATTTTTGGCCAGTTTCAGTTAACCTACTCTAATGCAAGCCACTACTTTATTTCTCAAGTACTTTTGACTAACCTTGCTCCTATAATCCTATTTTTTTCTAAATAAGGTTCTTGCAGAATGATATTCAAAAATTAAATATTTGTTCATATAAATCGATAAACATTCTGCAAGGATTCGTGTGGAATGCATAGAATATTTTTCAAGTTTAGTTCTTGACCTTAGCTTTGACTTGACCATTTAACATTTCGTTTTTAGCCCTCACTTAAGTACCTTAATATCTGTTTATTGACGTATTGCCTGCCTGATAACGAAGCCTCGTCTAGATCGAAACTAACAATATTTCCAGGAAAAGTGCCAGCCGATCATGATTTCATATAAAATGCGCTCATACTTGATTTTAATTTTGTCTTTCAGTTTTCTATTTAAGTTAAATTTTCATTTTCTTTTAATTAAAAGTATTATTTGTGTTTATTTTGAATTGGTGAAGAATACCTACTAATATTATTTGTAAATATTTGCAAACGAAAATAAATCTTAGCGAAAATAATACTAATAATATATTTATATCTCTTTCTCTCTCTCACTCTCTCTTTCCAAAAATAACACGCTCAACAAATACTAAAAAAATATATAATTGAAATCATAATTAAATAATTAAATTCTTAAAACTAATTCGACGAAATAATTGGCGAGGGCAGGCAACTATTCGCGATTAGCCTGCGAAATTCAGTTCGTGCGTTCGATGGGCTACTACCTTATACAAATCTATATACCCTCTGGACTGATCGTTATTATATCATGGGTATCATTTTGGCTCAATCGCAATGCAACGCCGGCGCGTGTGGCGCTCGGTGTGACAACCGTGTTGACAATGACCACTTTGATGTCGTCAACAAACGCAGCGCTGCCAAAGATTTCGTACGTCAAGTCGATTGACGTCTATCTGGGAACATGCTTCGTTATGGTCTTTGCCAGTCTACTGGGTAAACAAACTAAAAACTACCAAAAACAATAAACTACTTACCCCGAACAACCAATTCCAAAAAAAAAGTAACCGCCCCAAAAAAAAACAAACACCATTAAACAGTAGCAATACGATTTACCCCCATATCTATACACACCAATATACAGCCAAAAAAATAATCACAACTCACACTTTAACAGGATCACACGGGGATCTGCCCTGTGAACTCTGAATTTATTATTTCGTGTTTTGTTTCCGTTTCCGTATGATTTGAATAATCCTGGCGCAGACAAGCCGACAAAGTCGCGTGCCAGCCTTGAGTTTCCTTTACGATTTACAAACACTTTATGCCAGCTTTCCGTGCCACGCTTAGCGTTGTGCAATCTAGTATAAACAACAGTTGCAGATACATCCAGAAAACACACACACAACAGATATTTTTCCCATCAAAACGATCTGCGTCTTGAGAAATTCTAATTAAACTTTTAATCAAACTCATTGGACGAATATCCCTGAAAAAGCGCAGTGAACTTTTGTCCTTTCACACAGTAAACAGTAGTTTGATTTTTATCTAAACTTGAACTATTTCACTTTTCTTATGGAGCCAACAGACTGCAAACTGGTCCATCCATAAGGACGCTGAAATGCACTGCACTTGAGGCACAGCCACCCGAATTAAGCCAAAGATACTTTTGTATTCGTAAGATACGCATTTCTCAAGAGATGCTGTTTATTCCAAATTTCATTTATCTTGAGCTTCGGTGCTGGTCCTGTCGAAATTCTAACTTTAACTTTCTCTCTAACTATCTTACAACTAAAACTCAATTCTCAAGCAAACAACTTACACCCACAACTACAACAACAACTCCAACAAACAGCAACAACAACAGCAAGATAAAAAAAAAAAACTTATGAGAAAAGAAAAAAAGAAACTCAAAAGAAAGAAATCTCTTTTTTCGTATTTGTATGTTCTTGTTAATTTTTCAATACAAAGAAAAACTATCATCCAAAGAAAATGTATGCAAATTCATAGATACGCGCCTGAGAGACAATAAAAACAATAAACCGTAAAGGCACGAAAATTTCCCACAATAACCCACGTCCCCACCCACCGTCTATCACCTGTCCCACCCGTTTTTCACATCGCACCTAGAATCGAAGCATGCTTCAGCCAAAAAAGACAAAAGCAAAGCAAAAACCAATATCCAATTCACCAGTCACATTAGCCTCTCCATATACACGCTCCGTGTATATGCCAGTATATACTATATACTTACTGTATGTACTATACTATGTACTATGTATAGAAGCCGACTCTCAGGTTGAGTTTGTGTTCAAGCACCCAGACGAGCAAATCTCACACACTTGAGCGAACACACTTCAACCTGAAATGGTACCCAGATATCAATATACGCCCAGCTTCCGCCAAATGCAAACTGCAAACTGCAAGCAGCAAAATGCAAATCGCTAACCAACAACTTTGAAAAAAAAAATATATGTACAAACAAAAACTACGCACAAACAAAAGAGAAAAAGAAAAGAATAACTAAATAAAAACAATTTAGAGCCCAGGGTACGAGTAGATCGATTAAATCAATTAAAACCTAAAACCAAAGCTAACAATCGTTAAAAGGGAGCGCAAAAAATATCAAAATAAATACGAAACCAGCATGCCCTGCGCCACACCTGGCTTGACTCGCGATTGAATTGAATCAAAAAAACAATACAAAAATAAGAACAGACACAATACACTGTAAATATGGTTCAACAAGTCGTCGATCAACAGCCAGAAGACGCAGCCCCCGAAGACTCTTCAGACAACAGAGCCCCGCAACCAAAATCATAAATAATTTCAAATCCAAAACTGCGCCCAGTAACGTCAGTAAAAAGTATCTGAGAGATACGAGTATCTGCGATTTGGAGCTATCAAGTTTGGGTCACTTTAACGCGTGTCCCAGACATGATGGCTGCCAAATTGCATACAAAATATGAATAAGAATATGTATAAAATCGCACCAGATAGTAGATAATCCAATGTTAGGTAAGATATGATTCGTAGCCTGCTTTCTGTTTTGTTTTATTGCCTTTTGCAGCGAAATTGGTTGCGGAAATGCGATGGGGTAAGTACTCGTTACTAGTTAATCGTTACTCGTTACTTCCTGCCCGCCATGTTCTATCCACATTCATCGGCGAGTATGCGAATATGTTGAAAATTTTTTAAATAAAATCCTGAAAAACTCAAAAAACCCCCCCATCCAAAAACACTCAAATCAAAATCTGAATCCGTAACATTCCAAGGATAACAAGAACATCTGAAGAAGCTGAAGAAGCATTACGAGGAGCATTACAAATACGAACAAATGCTGGAAATTTTCGTGTCCTTTATAACGGGCGACTTTGTTCAATGAATTTGCATTTAAGGCACGCACATGAACATTTTCCTTGAATGATGGTCTCAACTGCAGAAATAAATGTGTACATAAATCGTTTGGCTTACAAATGACTTTTTCCACTCATTTCACAAAAACAAAACCAACTACGGCAGAAAACCGTAAACACGAACACTCACTCACTAACACACACTCACTCGCATACAGACACACTTCAATTGCTCTGTCTCTCCTTCTCTGTCTCTCTAGAATATTGCTAACTCTCTCACACACCCAAACACCCAAAACACCCACACACAGACTTGCTTTATTCGAATTTTCCTTTGCCTGGCTAAAATGGAAATACGAAAATAAATTCACTTTAATTTTTGATTTCACTTGCCCCCCAAAAACCAAACACTGAACAACCAATCTACAATATTTGTTCCAAACGACTCTGAATGTTACATAGCTTGAGTCCCTTCCGAAACATCCCGCCCATCCCAAAAACCCACTATACCCCCTCCCCACATGGCGTCTATACCAGCCCATCCTGCCAAACATTTACCTCTTTAGACGTTGTGCGCAAAATGAACAGAAATTGATTGCTAAATTCTTCATGAAATTTAAATTTCTTTTGTTTTTCTATTTGTCTTTCTTTGTATCCGACTGAAAAAAAATGCCAAAAAAAATATATCGAAACCCACCCTACCAAAAAAAAAAAACAATGTAAACTACAACTTCAACAATCCAACTATATCTGACAACTACAACAACCAACTACAACTACCAACAAAAAATATCATCCGTACTTCATGTGGAACCCGAACTCGACTCTAAATTCTTGAACTGCATCTGCATCTGAACCTACCGACTTAATCCCCCACCCACCACCACCAAACCGTATGCCAAACCGTCCATCAACAATGTATCTAAATCTATCGAAATTAATCGAAATTTATCGCAATCTATCAACCAAATTCCAAATGCCACTACTGCCCATCAACAATCGATTGAAATTATTTGAAAAATACTAAAAAAAATTCTGTCGTCCAAATTGCAACATCAATGATCGCCCAAATTCCAAAACGAAATTCGAACTGTAATCTGATATTGAATTGAAAAAAACCCAAAATCGTTATCGTTTCGTATCGCATCCGTTTATCGCTATCAATAGAATACGCCACCGTCGGCTACATGGCAAAACGAATTCAAATGCGAAAACAAAGATTTATGGCGATCCAAAAGATAGCCGAGCAGAAAAAGCAACAGCTAGATGGAGCCAACCAGCAGCAGGCCAATCCGAATCCGAACGCTTCCGGTGGAGGCGGCGGAGGCGGTGGCGTTGGCATGGGCCCTGGTATGGGACCCGGAATGGGAGGCGGACCCAATGTGGGCGTGGGCATGGGCATGGGCCCGGAGCATGGTCACGGGCATGGACACCACGCCCACAGCCACGGCGGGCATCCACATGCGCCAAAGCAAACAGTGAGTAACCGCCCAATCGGCTTTTCCAATATCCAACAAAACGTTGGTACGCGCGGTTGCTCGATAGTGGGACCCTTGTTCCAGGAGGTGAGATTCAAGGTCCACGACCCGAAGGCCCATTCCAAGGGTGGAACGCTGGAGAACACCGTGAACGGTGGCCGAGGCGGACCGCAGTCCCACGGGCCGGGTCCGGCGCAGGGCGGTGGCGGCCCGGGCGGTGGCGGTGGCGGCGGCGGCGGTGGCGGACCGCCAGAGGGCGGCGGTGATCCGGAGGCAGCGGTGCCAGCCCACCTTCTGCATCCCGGAAAAGTAAAAAAGGTAAAGGTAAAGATCGTACATGATGCGGCGACAAAAAAGTATTCAACACTTTTCCCAACCATACTAACATATACTTTTTCTTTCATTTCCCCGCCCATCTCCCCTGCCTGTCGGCTATCCCTCATCCTAATCCTGTAATCACCTGTCCCATCAGGACATCAACAAGCTCCTGGGCATCACGCCATCGGACATCGACAAGTACTCGCGCATAGTATTCCCCGTGTGCTTCGTCTGCTTCAACCTGATGTACTGGATCATCTACCTGCATGTGAGCGACGTGGTCGCCGATGATCTGGTGCTCCTGGGCGAGGAGTAAGGTGGTAGCAACAAGGAGCAAGGAGTATGGACTCGCAGGAGTGAACAGCGCACCAGAGAGAGTCAAACTGTGCAGGGCGCTGAAAAACCACACACACACACAAAAAAACATAAAATATGGAAACACTGAGAAAAAAACTAAAAAAAAAAAACATTAAAAACCCAAAAACCAAAAGAAATAGAGGCAACAAAACTAATTTTAACTAGCGATATATTAAAAAAGCAAGAAATTATTGTTTATTACTAAAAAAAAAACGAACAAAAAAAAACAGAAGGACACACACATATTACAAGGTCGAAAGCAAAGAATATTGTTAAATAGATTTACACAGGTATAAAAAAAAGGAAGAAAAAAATTAGAATTAAACAACCAAATGAGTATAAATGAATGAAGAATAATCAAAAGCAACAGATTAGCAAATTGTAGTGAAAATTATATAACGAAAAACCATAAAACCACAAATATAACGATCAAAAATCATACGCAACATAGGCATTAATTGAAAATAATGAAAGTAATGAAAGACGATTGAACGACTATGGGATACCCTCGAAATAGCGCAGTCAAGAGTGGATTTCAAACCGAAAAACACACCAAATAATAGAATATTAAACAGAGAATGTTTAAAAGGACATGCTAGGACCTTTTGTTTAAAACTAGTTTCGATTATCTTTGAGGCGTTTTGTGTTTGTTTGAAGTTTATGAAACGAATGACCTTTGCTTCCCCACTTTAAAAGCAAAACACCCAAAGAGTCTTCCTCTAATTTATAAGTGCGTTTTAGTCCCCATTTTAAAATCCTTTAGCTGCACGCTCTCAAAACAAAAACTGAACCAAAATTTAACGAGAATCTTGAGAAAGTACTCACTATGTTGATCCATTGATTGCCCATTTAGTTGGTTGATTTGTTTATTCAGAACTGACTTAGCGCTTCCAAGAGAAATGGCCAAATTTATTAGAAATCAAAAAAAACGTAGTTCAATGAACAAATTTCGACAATTGAGAATCAGTTTAGCGAATTATTATACGTTTCAATAAGTTAACTTTAAATGCAATTGAGGAACGAAGAAACGGGAAGGGTCCTTAATCATTTGCACTCACAATAAATACGAAAGGAATATTATGGAGAATACTTTGAATGAACGGCACCTTTTATAAGCAAACATCGGAGATAAGTCATACAAATAGTTAGTGCAATTGACATAGTGAAATAATAATATGAACGATAACGATTAATTTTAGTTACACCAAATTTTTATATCAACTTTAAAACTAACAACAAATTATTCAAACTGCACTCAGTCACTCTCTCAATCAATCGATCACTCAATCACTCTCACTCGATAACATAACTCGATAAACACCACAAGAATCAAACTCAACAAACTTTTCGAAGACAAAACTTTGCGGCACCGTAAGAAATCAATCTAAAGTCTAAGTGAAAAATTTTCAAAATGCAAGCAAGTAAGCCCAAAATAAAGAATACCTAAACAGTAAACATTAAAAACGAATATAAAATAGATAAAATAGACATAGAAATATGTACACAAGTATAAATGAAACTGCCTAAGAAAAATAGCGTATAAGTCTAACAAATAGTTGCTAAATAAAAATGAGTTAAGCAAAGGATAAACGGAGGATAATTGATTTTCAATTTGTACATACAGAACACACTCGAAACTCGGAACATTCTCAAAGCAAAAAGCAAAGTAGGAGCAAAACTTCGCAATTGAATTAAACTTAGTTAATGTAATTGAATCTAGTTAAGCGATTAACTCAGATACGTTCAAGCAGTCAATAAAGCCGCAAAACATACAACAGATACTTACGATGCACCTAAGTTAGCCTAATGAATACACACACACACAGGACACTCTACTTATACTGACAAATGGACAGACACAGAAACAGATACAGATACTCGACTTAATACATATATACATTATATATATATATATACAATTTGAATTTTCGCTCAAGTTCCTCGATGAATCACAGACACAAATGAGAAAGAAACAAAAGTTAAGTTAATTAACACATAATTAAAGGCAAGTGAGTTTAACTTTAAACATTAAAAAATAATTAATATAATATACAATTTAGCTCAATGGAGATATAATTAAGCAAAACCATACCAAAATATCATCAATGAATTTTAATTTAGTGTTTATGATTAGTGCAAGTGCAGATCAGATCGTAAGGCTAAAGAATTTTGTACAGTTAGCTAAAGTTAAAGCTAGGATCTAGTTATATGCCATACAATATGGTCAATACACACACAGACACACTTCAACACCCTGAACACAACAAACACACACACATGTATATAATTATAAAGTTTGGCTTAAGAGACACACACACACACAACCAGTATATGAGATATATTCATATAACGTATTTAGGCACCTACGTATATGTAGCACGAGTTTTTTATATGTAAACCAAGGAAGAAATTGTCCTAATCCAAATACCCAAAAGATCGATTGATATCGAATCGAGAAACAATTAACTGTATATACGAAAAGTACTTATGAATGGAACACTGGCAGTGTAAGCGAAGGATGACGATGACGATGATGATGGTGGAACAGCTATGGAAGCCTAGATATACATATGAATAAGATGAACCTTTAACCCCCAACCCTTCTTAAGGACTACCTAACCAATTCTGCAAAACGACTACCGGAGAGGCCCCAAGGAGAATTACTTTATTAACGATCTAGAACAGACACGATAATACATTTACACAAGCCAGATATTAAATGAGAATTAACGAAAACAAAAAAATGTACGACAAAGTCGAACCTTCGACTATTAATACCCTTTAGCCAGGAAAGTATCTTGAGTTGTCTGTCTGCTTTCGAACAAAAAATGCAATCTTATTTTACTCCAAACGGCTAAAGAGTATCCACATATTTTTAACTAGGAATCTGAGCAAAAAGGAAAGCAATATGAGATTTAACCAAAATTCATTTTATTAGCCATTTTCTAATTTACTGAGCCAAGTGAAACGGATTTGAAGCAAACTGCAATTGATCTACAAAAAACACAGTAAACAATTTCCAAAGAAAATAGTTACAACCCAAGTAAAAGTAAAATCGGTGATAAAACAACATAAATAATATATATATCTGCTTATATATTAAACACAGACACACCCTATACATATATATATATTTTGTAGCTATACAAAGGTCAGGAATCAATTATGTTACCGAAGACAGAAATCAAAATGTTTGTAAAAGTTAAAAGACAACAATTGCGGATGATATTAATTTGTAAAAATAAAAACATGCTATATAATGAATATTCCCTAAAAAAATTAAACTCAAATAAAATTATGATGAACAACAAATAGCTGCTCAACGGTTTCGGAGCGTATTTCCAAAGAACGTAAATTAATGAAACAAAAGTAACATTTTATTTGTAAACAACGCAGAGGCGCAAATAGTTGATGCAAAAAGGAGTAACATTTTTAAATATGAATGGCAAATTGTGCGTTTAATTTTTCATATGGAATTTTTTACTCTACAACCTAGTTTATGATATTATTTTTGTCGAGATGTTGAGGAAGGAAAACCAAAATAATTTAGTTGGCCATAGCGAGAACATTTTTTATAAACAAATTATTGAGGCGAGACGACGATGAAAATGCATATTATACGAAAGTATTTATGCAAGAGCATTTAGGACAACAACAACAAGAAAAACCAAAACCAAAAAAAAAATAAGAAATGATAAGCAACAAAAAATGATGCAAATATGTAAAATGTTAAAATATACACACAATGAAATGTTTGAAGCATTTTTGGTGTTGCTGTTTAGACGGCAACACCAACACCAACGTTTTATAAAGCAACCGAAATGGAGAAATAAAAAATAATTATATATATATATATATATATGAGGAGCGATATATACATATGTACGTGACATGATGTATATTTAATTATATATATTATATATGTATGGTGGTCTCAAAAACAAAGCAAAACCAAAAACATGAAATTCTAAAGTATTTAGATAAGCAAACCAACAATTTGGGAACCCTAGCTACTAAGTTGAACCACACCAGACACAGATACAGATCCAGTAATACTTACTAAAGAACAGATCCCAATTCCAGCAGTTCGCACCGAATAACAAAACCAAAAAAAACAACATTTTTAAAATGAATTCAAAGTTAATGCAAGTGAATATTATTATTGAGAAATAGTCTATAACCCTAGGCAGCAAGACGAGATATTGATTGAGCCATGAATTGTTAGCGGCATTAGTGCCGAAAATTAAATACACTATTCGAAAGACACACACACTCACACACAGACACACACTTATGGTTGTACGTTGCATACTTTTAGTTTGTTGCATCATTATTAATTATTATTAAAAAAATAAAAGGAAAAGGAGCATTAATTTAAGAGGCCACAGAATCATTGTCCGTTGACAGGCAAACCGTTTGCTCAAGCAAAGTAAAAAATGCGAAAATTTGTTATTAAATTTTAAGATTAGGCATCAATCCAAAGTATGATTCCCCGCGGGCTCTGGCTACCTACGATTACCAATTGTGTATGATTTGTCAGTAAAAAAAAATATATTTACCAATTTCAAGTCTCATGCCATCATCAAGCAATAAAATCAAGCAAAAACTATATATTCGATGTGGAGTGTATCTGTATATTTTTTGGTTTTATCCGTCCATCAAAAAGAGTTCCTAAATGCAATAAATGAACATTTTTTATGATTACCAGCCAGTCAGAGCCATCCCGCCATCCGTTCGCCACTTCCGATCCGATATGGTAATCCCCCGCCCCAGTTGAAAAGTTGGTCTGCTGTCAATTATTGGTTCCACAGTACCCTCAGATAATTATTTATTTATTTTTCGGTTGCTCAACCATCCATCAGCCTCAGTCTTGGAATGAAAATAAAGGGACAAATCCAATAAGAAATCCCCCTCCCAAAAAAAAATAAGTATATAAGCAAGAATATGTTTGAAGGTCCCCCGGGAAATGGGGCGAAAACCAAGAGAAAATAATTTAAAACGTAATGCGTATGTAATGATTGATCACTGATCACAAATTTTGACTGTGTTAATTTCGTTATATAAAATGAAAAAAACCAAATTAAAAAGACCAAAAAAATAAAAAACAAAAACCAAAAAAAAAATGAAGAAAAAAACTGAAATGAGAATAATTATCTATAGCATATAAAGAATAAACACACACATAACAAAATAATTAAAAATTGAAAATAATATGAGATGAATGTTACAAGAAAGTAAATGATAACACCCAAGAAGGAACCTATATTATTAAGTTAAATACTAAAACTAAAAAACATCCAGATGGAAAAAATGCAAACCAAGAAGAAAAATATTATAATATTGCAATGAAGTGAATATAAATAAAGATATGTAAAAAAATTACAATCCCCCCAGTGTTTCATTGAAAGTATCTCAGGTTCTTGCATCAAAGTGGAGATTTTATTTTTCAAGTTTGTTTGTTGAACAGAAGGTTTGATTAACTCACTGGGCAGGTTTCAAAAATTACATACAATACAATTTTCTGCTTAATTATGATTTATGATTTGGTTTCTGTTATCTATGTATGGTAATATCTTTGATTATATGATTATGAAGTTATCCGATTGGTGAGTTATGAACTGGAATATTCGAGTATTGCAAACAAAGTCTCGTATTGAGAAGGCTTTTCACTAATTTCAAATATCTTCTTTCTGGCATCCAACATTAACTTAGACCATTTAACTAGACACGGAAAACATTTAACTAATTAGACTAGTGCTGACATTCAATTACAACAATATATTAATTCCGCAGGATTCGCTCTTAGGCTTTGATTACATTCCATTATTAGTTCACTATAATGTGCAGAGGTCCTAGAACTAGGTGAACCGAAAACTAATTACCGAGAACGAAAACCCAAATGAATTGACAATAAAGTTGATTGGCAACTTGGCTATAATGCGGCTAGTAGATCAAGCGAATGGCTAACTTAACGGCTTCTCTAGTTTTCTTAGATATATATACATATTATTGCTCGATTAGTTGTGGATGCTGATATTCGAAGACCCGTGTCTGAGTGCTACATAAGTATTTGTCTTTCAAAACGTTACAATACAATATTTTTCATTTATAATATATATATCCGATGTATTCCATACGTGTCTGAGGGTATAACACATTACAAACTAACATAATTATGTATATATTTAAATAGTTTATATTTATATTTATATATCGTATGGTGGTTTTTGTTATGAAGGCCCAGTTGATGTAACTAACTATAACCCCAGAGGCAGTCCAGAAAAAGTATTCAAATGGATGTACACAATTTGAGCGCTGTACGTGAAAAAGGAGAGAGGGTTCTCGACCTGCTATAAGTACATATGGCGTATATAGTTTCTATAGATAGTCCTGCTATTGTGTCGTTGTATGTATATAGTCCTGCCTGATCTGCCTTATCTGCAAAGACCAAAGTCCGTCTGAGTCGGTTTAAAAGAGACGTCTCTAGAGTTTGACGTCCTTGAGTTGGGCTCTCAAAAGGATCCTCTGAAACACTTTGGCAAACGAAACATTTCATAGCATACTTTTTGGGGCCCTGAGAAGAGAGATCAAAGTACTCGAGATCGCAGTGTTTTTTTTTAACCTAAAAGTGTTTGGATTTGTTTGGAAAGGTTTGGAGGATTGTGTGAGCCTAATATTTTTCAGTGGATTTCAAGTGTTGTGGTTGCTACTGTGGTTGGATAGTGGTGGTGGCTGTGGCTGTGGTGTTCCGCTGATCCGCTCTATAACTGTCCGTGGCTATAGTCTATATAGTATATATCTTGCTCATGGTCGTGTGCCTAAAAGAACAAAAGAGAAACAACATTGAAGTAGCCGACCAGGAGGAAGAGACTGTCGGGAGTGACGAATTTAAGCGTTCGACTCCTTCAGATTTTGCAAACGTGCCAATTGATTTGAGTCCAATTCCTCGGGTATGCTAGCTCGCCCACCGACCACCTGCTTGGGCGCCTCAATATCCTCCTCGCCAGCTGCCGGGCCAGAGCCAGTCTCTCCCGGCTCTCCATTCACGTCCAAGTCATGGGACTGCTCGCCTCCTCCCCCACCGCCCCCTCCCGATCCCGATCCTGCTCCCGCGAAGGCATCATCGAAGTTGGCATCGAAATTGGCCTCGAAGTTCGCCTCAAATCCCGTGGATCCGTCACCTCCGCCGCTGGACTCGCCCTTGGCCTTCTCGTTGAACGGATCATCGGCTTCCTGGAGGGCAGGAACGGTCTCCGAATCGGTGCCCTCGGAGAAGGACTGTTGGTCCTCTGCATCACAGGATGGATACTCGGTCAGTGTTATGCTCACCACAGGCCTCGGCCCACCCCGATTACCTTCTTTGGCCGCAGCCGGAGCCGGAGCGGTCTGGGGCGATGGCGATACCTTGGCCAGCGGCTTGGGCGCCACATCTGGCTTCTTGGCAGACGCCTCCGCCTCCTTGGACGGCTTCTCGGGCTTCTCGTCCTTGGCCTTCTCCGTATCCGTATCCTTATCGGACTGGGAATCGCTCTCTCCTACTGGTGGGAAAGATTTATCGGCACCGTCTTCAACCATGGGGGTTGCAGCGGTAACTATTATTTGTGCCATACCTAAGTTCAGGGTGTTAGCGGTGCTAGCCGCCGCCCCCTTCTCCCCCTTACTAATCCCCGGACCCGGCGTCGGTCCGCCCGCCTGCGGCAGCTGGGGCGGCGGCAGAGACGGTGGCGGCTGACCGTCGTCACTTAGATCGTCCTGGAAAAGGGACAATAATCAAGATTAGCACTTAAAAATTTTAAAATTTAAATTAATAAAAGGAAGCAGTAGTATTAATAAGTGACTTTGCATTTTTTAAAAAGTGTTAACGATTTTAATTGCTTTTTTAAAATTTATAATGAATATATGTACATTTTTTACAACTTTCTAGAAAAGTATCCTTTTTTAAAGGATATTCCATAAATCCTAACTTTTTAAAAATATCAAAGACACTTTCGTTTTCAAAACCGAACTATTTAATTCTTAAAGAAAATATATAAATGGCAATATTTTACCTCCATGCCAGGCTCTTGGATGAGTACTGAGTATGCGTTAAAAATAAATGAGAAAGTAATCGTTTTCTTAGTCAACAATCGTATTTAAGGTTAAATATGTCTTAAATAATTACAATTTATTGATCAAATAGTTATAGAGCGGTGAGTTGGAAACCAAAACAAATATAGGATTAAGTCAAGGCAGCCTTGGAACGAGAACTATCTAGGTACACGATAGAGATTCAGAATTTAAAATTCAACAAAAAATTAAAAAGCAAGAAAGAAACTCATAATTTGCATAAATTTGCATAACTAAGGATACAATTAATCAGATTTGGTTTTCAGGGCACAAACATGCGGGAATATAGGATGAAAACTAGGGGATTTCATAAATATTATTCAGTTTCCAGTCTGATAACTACAGGGGTATATATGGAAACCGATTGAATTGATATTTGATATATGGTATTTATATACAAAGATGGGGGCCGTCAGTTTTTATTATGGTATATATTTGAATATTTTAAAGAGAAAACCCTCAAATGGATTATATTATTGAGTATATTTTTTATAGAATTTCTAAATACCAAGAAGAAAGGCTCAGTTTAAACATTAAACAGAGATTAAGAGGATTTATAGTCATGCTCTCAAAGTTTTGGAAATTGAAAATATTTCCCTAAACTAGAGTTACTGAATCAAGAATCAAGAAGGTGAAAAGTTCGGGGGGCAAAGATAAAGAGAATTTTGTTTTTTAGATAATTTAGTAAATTACCCTTATTGGCAGTTGTTTGGCTTGGATTGTTGCCTTAAATGACACAAAGACACAATTACACGGAGAGAAAAAGAGAGTAAAAGTAGCCAATGCAAAACAGCAATGAAATAAATACGTGATATTTAGACAAACTAATAACCAATTAAAGCATTTGAATGCAATTAAATTGAAAATTCAGTGCGACACACACACACAGACATTAAATCTTTATAATTAATTAATTGAGAAATAGTAAGCTGCAAAAAGAAAGATATCGAAGATGAGCAAATAACGGTAACACGACACGACACTTGGTTAACAATCATCCTAAAGATAGAGAACACTGTAAAAAACGTAGGACATTTCTTCGGTTGCGGTTTTGGTTTTTTTCGGAGAATTGCGAAGTCTTTTGAAGGCGAGATTAGACAAATTAGCACATTAACGGAGAGCAGAGGAGAATAGTTACAGTGATGGTGGTTTTTGGTGGTAACATTTTTTTTTTGGTGGTTAGTGGTTAAGTGGTGGTAGTAGTGGTACAAGTGGTTAGTAGTTACACGAGCTGCACTTTTGGAGAATAGGTTTACCTCTAGAGAATATAGAAGCAGGTATAACAATACTTTTGATTGAAATTTTTCTTTTTTTTCTTTTGTTTTTTTTTGACAGTGAAGTTTGAAAAAGTATACAAATGTTTGGTACTAGAGGAATTCATATTGAGTGATAGATTGTATAATATAGAGAGATATTGAAAGGGGAAACAAAAGACCAGGTTGTAGGCGGCCTTGGAAGAATTAAAAATTTACCTGGCGGAGGCATGCTCGGGGCAGCCGCACCGTTTGGATACACACCGCTATCCTCATCTGTCAAGAAAAAGAGATTATTGTTATCACTTTCAAAAACTAATTCAACATTTATTTAAATGTTAATATATATACATATGTATGAGAACAACTTAACAAAAAACCAAAATAATCAATACTTTTTACCAAACCAAAAAGCAAAAACATAATAATAAAATAACCATAATAAAATAAGGAAATATTTCCAAAGACATGGCGTGGGGATAAAAAGGGGCCCCGATTTCAGATTTTATTAGGAGCTTCCCATAAAATTTGGAAAAAAGTTATTTTATTAGATTTTGACTAAAATGAAAATTTGACCAAAAATCTAAAAAATTTAATGTTCTTAGATTTTGATGCAGATTTATAGAGAATCGATCTACGAATCATTTAAGGTACTCCTCTTAAGAATCGGATCAATATTGCCAAAGATATAGACTTCGCAGTGATCCATATTGTGGCCCCAAGCTGTTTTGTGTATTTTTGTAGGGGACCCTCCAGAAAATTTGACCAAAAGTCTAAAAAATTGAATGCTCTTAGATTTTGATGCAGATTTATGGAGAATCGATCTACGAATCGTTTAAGGTACTCCAATCAAGAATCGGATGAATATTGCCAAAGATATAGACTTCGCAGTGAGCCATATTGTGGCCCCAAGCTGTTTTGTGCATTTTTGAAGGGGACCCTCCAGAAAATCTGACCAAAAATCTTAAAAATTTAGTGTTCTTAGATTTTGATGCAGATTTATGGAGAATCGATCTACGAATCGTTTAAGGTACTCCTCTTAAGAATCGGATGAATATTGCCAAAGATATAGCCTTCGCAGTGAGCCATATCGGGCCCCAAGCTGTTTTGTCTATTTTTGTAGGGGACCCACCAGAAAATTTGACCAAAAATCTAAATAATTTAATGTTCTTAGATTTTGATGTAGATTTATGGAGAATCAATCTACGAATCGTTTAAGGTACTCCAATCAAGAATCGGATAAATATTGCCAAAGATATAGCCTTCGAAGTGAGCCATATTGTGGCCCCAAGCTGTTTTCTGTATTTTTGTAGGGGACCCTCCAGAAAATTTGACCAAAAATCTGAACAAATTTAATGTTCTTAGATTTTGGCGCAGATTTATGGAGAATCGATCTACAAATCGTTTAAGGTACACCTTCTAAAAATCGGATCAATATTTCCAAAGATATGAACTTCGCAGTGAGCTATATTGTGGCCCCAAGCTGTTTTGTGTATTTTTGAAGGGGACCCTCCAGAAAATTTGAGATAAAATTTAAAAAATTGAATGTTCTTAGATTTGGATGCACATTTATGGAAATTCGATCTACAAATCGTTTAAGGTACTCCTCGTAAGAATCGGATAAATATTGCCAAAGATATAGCCTTCGAAGTGAGCCATATTGTGGCCCCAAGCCCCAAAGTGTATTTTTGTAGGGGACCCTCCAGAAAATTTGACCAAAAATCTAAAAAATTGAATGTTATTAGATTTTGATGCAGATTTATGGAGAATCGATCTACGAATCGTTAAGATACTCTTTTTAAGAATCGGATGAATGTGGCCAAAGATATAATCTTTCCTGGGGGTCCAAAACGTGGCTTCAAACCTTTTAAAGGTTTTTGAGATTTAATTTTAAAATAATGTTAAAAAGTGTTTGTCTTTAGATTTAGATTTGTAATTGTGGGGAATCTATATATCGAATGGTTATCGAAAAACCAAAACATATTTATGATAAACTTATAGAAACTTAAAATAACACGTCAGTGACTTATAAAACAAACATTAAAAAAAAATATTTGGCAAAAACATTTTTTGAATGTTCCTTCACTCACCTGCCGTGTCCTGGGAGCCGAACATGTCCTCGGTAAGCTCCAGCTCCAGCTCATGGGCATACTCTGGCGGCAGTGCCGGGGCAGGGGGCAGGGCAAAGGTCGGCGCCGCAGTGGGCGGGGGTGACTCGTCGCCGCCCTCGCTGAGCGGCTCGCCCATCTCGTCGCACTCCTCGACGACCAGCGATGGGAAGTTGCCGAACCGCCCGTCCAGCTCTCCCTCCCACCAGCCGTCGTCGACGCCGTGGGCGGTCTTGGTGATGATCTTGATCTTGTCGCCCTCCTCGAAGGTCAGCTCGTCCTCGGCGGTGGCGTCGTAGTCGTAGAGCGCGATGCACCATTCCACGTCCGACTTGGGGCGCTTCTGGGGCGCCATGATGACCGAGACCTGGTCGGGCGATTGCATCGAGTCCACCGTCTGATCTTCATTGTCAACAGTATAATCGACAGATGAGAATGAGATTTGAGAGCGCAATTGATTGCCTGAAGTACCATTAAAGGCGCTGCCGGCCGTCTCCTGGTCGATGTCCAGATAATTGTGGGGCACGTAGCCCTCCTCGCCTCGGTAGTTCCTGGCCCGCAGCCAACCGTCGCCGTCGCCCTCGCCGACCACCTCGAGCTGCTCATTTTCGACGATGGTGAGCTCGTCGGGATTCTGGGCCTGCAGGGAGAACAAGAACATCATTAGCAACGTTTCTAGGCCCATTCTGGGTCACACCATTACCGTATAGCTGTAGAGTGCAGTGCACTTAAAGATGGCCTCCTTGGGCTCGGGTACAATGGGCTCGTCCTTGTCGTCTTCCTCCTCGCCACCCCAATTGACCTCGGTGGGGTCATCCCAGCCGCCGCCTCCCATCATGGAGGAGGTGGAGGCAGCAGCTGCGGCTGCACTAGAGGATGCTGCCGCAGCAGCCGGACGCTCCTCGGGCTCATCATCGCTGTCGCTGAAGGTGCGATCCCGGGACAACTGCTGCTCCGTCTTGGGCTTGGCCTGAGCCTGTGATTGGGCCTGGGTTTGGGTCTGAGTGTCCTCCTTGTCGCTGTCGTAGAAGGAGTCGGAGCTGGGGTTCTCGCCCTGCCCGGAGGCATCGGTACGCATCGAAATGGAACTGGCCGAGCGGGTCAGCTCCTGCACACCCATGATCTCCGCCTCCTGGACCCACTCGTCCACATTGATGCCACCATCGCGGAGACACTGCAGACAGGCCTCTGCCTTGGCCTTCTCCGTCTCGGAGCGACGGATCTGGTCGCGGAACTCCTCGATCTTGGTGTCCAGATCGGGCCCGTTGGGATCGTTTGGATCGGTGCGTTGTCCAGAGTCCCGCAGCGACTGGCACAAGGCCAGCTTCTTGGCATTCTCCCTGATGGAGGCATTCTCCTTCACCACCCTGCCGGCCAAGTTCTTGGCCTCCTTGGTCAGCGTCTCGGCAGCGGAATCGTGCTCGGTGGTCACCTTGCGGACCGGATCGTTGTCACAGGCCTCGAAGTCGTACTGAATGTGCTGCTTGAGAACCGGATAGAAGAGGTAGCAGCACTGCAGGTTGTACTCCCGGGTGAGCTGCTGAGCCTGGTCTCTGATCTTCCCGAAGCTGTTCTGCGTAGCCGAGCAGGTGAGCAGCTCTGTGCGTCTGAAATTAAATTATTTATTTAATTTCGAATTATTTTCTTTTTAATCAATGAACTATAGTGTTTTTAGGGCCCCGAAAGATAAGAGCTTTGCTTTATCTTATCACGAAAATTTGGACCCAAACAATAGAATAATCCCCAAAGAATTTTTAATTTTGTAATCACGTTTTCGATACACATTTTTTTTGGGGGATTTAGGTAAAAAATAATAAAAAATTGGGGTGAATAATAAAATTGTTCACAAATTTTAACTTTTGGGATTGATGTTTTTTTTTCAAAATCCGAAATAGACTTTAAAGTTTAAGCAAAGCCAAAGTGTTTTAAATTTTAAGACCAAGTCTCACCCCATCAACATCAGGTACTCGGCCACCCTCTCGAAGACATAGTTCTCCATGGTGGTCATCGTGGTCTGCAGATCGACGGTAAAGTAACGATTCTGATGAGCATTGGCTGCGGCCAGGCTGAGAATATAATCATTCCTTGCCCCGGAGGACTTCTCCTCCAGCAACTCCTTGCGTGAGGTGACTCGGGCACTATTCTTCTGCAGCGAGGTGATCGACTGGAAGAAGGAGCCCTTCTTTTTCTTCAGTTTCTCCTCAATGTCCCTTGCCTTGTCGCGAACATCGTGGGCACAGTGCTCCTCGTCAAAGTACGACTTCTTGGTTTTGTCCACATCCCCGACACTCAGGTGGAGTTCCTTCTGGACGTTTACAATTCCGGATAGAGAGCGCTTGGCAATGGCCAGCTTGTAGTCCCGCAGGACCTTGGCCTCGTCGGCGATCTGCTGCTGGAACACCTCGATAGCAGCCAAGCGGGCACGGGCCAGTTTTTCATTTTCCTCAAGGACTGTGCGCCAAACACTCCACATGTTCCTAAAAGATCCAAATATTAAAAAATAGAATAAATGAGTGGATTATGAGTACTAACCATCGCTCCTCCATGCCGTCCATCTTAATATCTGGTATATTGGGTATTTTCTTGTTGAGATACTGGGATGAGATCTTTAGCAAGGCTTCACTGTACGACTTCTCAATGGCCGAGCGCTTGATGGTGAACTGACGGATGTCCTCCAACAAGTCGCACTCATGCTGGTTCTTCAACTGCAGCTTGGCCACCTGCTCCGTGTGCAAATTCTTAAGGAATTTCACATAGTTACCCTGGATATTAAAAAAATATATAATATTTAATTAATAAAGTCAAAGTCTTAATGGATATTTTGGTGAGATCCTTACCTTACGCGGCGGTGGCTGCATCTTGGGATTTATACTCTTTACTGGCTACCGGGTCTCTAAGGTTTTTCGCTTATTTTACAAGCAAATCCGTTTAATTCAAGCTCCGATTAGATAGCCTTACATTACCTCTAGAAGCTAAAAATAATTCAGACTAAATGAGACAACATTAAGGCGAAATAGATGAGGTTCCTTAAGACCATTTTAATAAGAAAAGTTTATTTTTAGACGTTTTGTGTGGGTGTGTGATGGTACAAGTGGGTGGTTGGTGGGGTGGCTACCATTGGTCTCAAGCCATTAATGGATTCGCTACGCAGCCAGGGAAAACTTATGTAACCAAAAAGAAATGCAATGATATTTGGCCAAAAACTTTACACTAAAAGCCTGAGAATACTTGAAGCTATATTTAGACTGATTTTAGCTGAAAAATGTTCACTGTCCAAAGCCCACGCAGCAGCCCCTGTTTTTTTTTTTCTGCGTATCGATTTCTCTGGCCCCCAGACTAGCTTAGATTTGATATTTGGCTTTAAGGAATAACGGTATTCAAATCACTTGGCTAACACTTTTCTTGGCCATCGCCGGGAGTTGCTTTCGGGGTTAATCTATACTTTTTATGGCTCTTATCTTGAACTTTTTCCTTCGAATTGGACAATTTTCTTGGAGTCCCAAGACCGTTGCTTACTTATCGATTTCGATTTTCACGTCGTTTGTGTGGGGAATTTTCACATGAACCGTTAACTGCTGCTGCGCTGCTGCTGCGCAGAAGTGAGAGCGCAAGAGAGAAAAACCAGCCAGAGATGCCGAGAGAGAGGTTTTCTACTTTCATTCATAGAGTCAAGTGCCGTTAATAAAAAAAAAGGAAAAACGTTAACAAGCACATGCGCCCCCGAGGGTGGGTATTTTGTTTTTAGCCCGTCAGCTGCTTGATAACACAGACTCTTCAACCGTAACGGCACTTCAATTGGCTATCAGGAACCCAACTGCCTTCCAAACCGAAATAATATGATATTGACACCCGGCCGACCGTCGACTGGTGCCAAAAATATATGCGTTGGCATGGTAATACACATATGCTGCCCTATCGAAGTGGTTTAATTGATAACTTCTGATATTGGCCAAGAAGTTTGAAATGATAAGATTTTGCCACCTGCGCGGAAAGGTAGGCAATGGAAATATGGAATCTAGCGATGTTTAGTATTTTTAGAGTTGCCAACCAAAAGAAAATCCATAATATTTTTAGTTTTAGGCAAAATCAAATTTATTTTATTTTCAAAATAGGAAAATATTTCATGAAAATTAATTATTAAAATTTGAAAAGGCATTGCCAGCACAAAACTTTGCCGGTAAATTGGTAGTACCGTTTCAGCTTTTAAGAAAAATACCAAAATCCCCCGCACAGCCTACTATCAGTATGTTTTGTTGTTGTTTTTCCAAATAAACCTTTAGCCCAGGAAATGGCCACGAAGCTAAATGTAAACATCCGCACTCTGCTGGCCAACTGCGAGGACCTGGCCAAGAGCGAGCACAACTTCTGGCGGCTGCAGAAGTTCATCAAGTCCTTGGACACAATGCTCGACGAACTGGAGGCCATGGACGACCCGCAGAGTGCTCAGCGGATACCGGGCTACTTGGAACGGTTGAAGGCGTTGAAGGCGGCCACAGGATACACCCAGCCAGCCGGGGCGGCCAACACAAACTCCTCTTCCCAACGGGAGTTTGGCGAGAATGCCTTAAAGGAAGTCCGCCAGCTGCAGAACACAAAGCATCACAATGATCTGCGAAAGGAACTATTACAGGGTAGGAATTAATAGCAATTCCTGAATATCTAGATAACCAAGTCTTATTACCATTTTAGAGGGCGATGCCCTACGTCGACGCCGAGCCCAGGATGAGGGCTCAAGTCCCGGCAACACCAGCATTCCCAGCTCATCCACTGACTTGACTGAAGCCGCCAAGTATTACACGAACGCCCAGGAGAAGATCACGGAGCATATGCTGTCGCTGACGCGGAATCTCAAGGAGCAGACCGAAACGGCCAATCGTATCATCCGCCGGGACACCGAGGTGGTTTCTCGCTCATCTGGGATGGCCGAACGCAATATTAACTCACTAAGCAAGGAGGCTGACAAGCTGGAGCAGCATTCGAAGAAGGCCTACAAATGTTGGCTCTGGCTAATGATTGTCTTTGTAATTGTCACATTTATAGGTGAGTCATGTCGAGGAAGTACCTGGAATTTCTTGAAAGGTCTCCAAGCTTCAGAGTACGTCAGTTGGGAACTAATTCTGCCAGTCAGCTTCTTACTAATTTAATTAATTTCCCCACTTTTAAATGAAAAAACACAAAAATATTGATCTGGTTGGGTTGCTAAACGAGTTCTTTCCTTAATTATTTTAAGAATTTGTAATCTTCCCCTCAGAAAACAAGTTTCATCTGACTCAGGCTTAATTAGTTCGATTTATTGCACATTCTAATGGGTTTATTAACCTCGTTTTTTGAATTACAGGCATGGTTCTCTTTATGAAGATTATGAAAAAGAAGAAAACGTAGACGGGATACTACTTCAACCAAAAACCAAGTACCAAGATTATGTTCTAAGCAAGCTGCTATTCCGATCGTTCCACTACCGAGTTCAAGAGGTTATCCAGAAAAAGGCCCCCTCATATAAACGATCGAAAGCCGCCCAGCGATTTATTTATGAATAGTTTATGTACAAGCGAAAGCGATTAAATTGTGGTGTTGTTGAGCATATTGGGTCTTTATCTGTTAAGTCTATTCGGCTGCTATGAGCTCGGTAACTCCGTTTTTGGTGATCAGCTGCAGCAGTGATCCGGTTTTTGGTCGTTCCTGGTTTTGGGTCCACTTCTGGAAGAGTCCAGCCACCTCAGTCAGGGGTGTCCAGGTGCCAAAGTCCGCCTCTGGCATCCACTTGCGGTTCATTGGGGTATCCAGAGTGACGGGCAGGATGGAGACGGCCAGGGAGTTGGCTGGCAGACCAGACTTATCGCCGCCCAGGGAACGGGTGAGCTGGTGGACAGCTGCCTTGGCCATGCCGTAGCCAATCATGCCAGGGGTGCCCTCCAGAGCGGGCTTGGCGCCAGTGAGTGCCAGCAGACCGCCCTCCTTCAGGTATTGAGCAGCCACGGCAGCGGATATGGCCGAGGTCCATACACTTTGCTTCCACATGAGGTCGGCGTTCTTGGCCAGATCCTTCTTGGCATTGCCGCCGGCCCATCCTCCAGCCACGCAGATCACAGCGTCCAGTTTCTGGCCATTGAGGGATTCCCCGACCTTGGCGACCACCTCAGTCTCCTGGTCCACCCATGCGGCATCGCGTGGCACCACAACGCTCACATCAGCCTTCTCGTTCTCCGACAAATCAATGCTGCCCACCCACTGGCCGATGGAGTTTCCAGATGAAGGTTGGGGAAAACAATGGTTAATGAGTGGCAACTACCAGGTGAAAGGGAAACTCACATAATTGTTGGCTTTGAAGTGATCAACGCAGGCTGATCCCAAGGCTCCCTTGCCGCCGTAAATGAAGACTCGACCCGCGGACATGATACGTGCTGCCAGTTTGAAAGCTAAACTCGGTTTGATCTCAAGAAATGCGAAAAAATTCCAAAGTGACTCAAAGAGCTTGGAGTGCAGATGGGGTTTTGAAACCAGTTCTACCGGAAAGTGCAGGAGAATTCAATTTGCAAACTTGAAAAAGCTTGGCTCTCAGAAGAAACGGCAGCAACAAGTGGAAAATCAATAACCGCGATATGGCCACTCTGAGAACCGCGATGTGTTGGTATTTTTTGCCAGTTGGTATTTCACAGCTGATGGCGGGCATCTCTATTCGGTGGCTAATTTTTGAAAAGGAAAATGCGAACCGGTTAAATGGAAAACCTAAAAGAAATCAGAAAAAAACACCTAAGAAGATACAAAAAATGTAGAAAACATTATAAAACCATAGTTTATATTCATTTTGTGGCAGCTTAAGCTCCAAGTTTCTGTTTAACCCTAAACGCAAAATCAAAACAACAACAAAGGAAATTTTCTCTTAGAGAGCGAACCGGTTATGCATTTAGGAAAACGTACCACCAAATTCCCATCAAAACACCAAAATAAAAGTACCAAAATAATTATTAATGTATTTAATTCTCACAATTTAAAACCATAATATATTTTAGAATATATTTTTTGAAAAAAAAGGGAAATGTGTGAAAATTGTTAGTTGTTTTGCCGCATTTACTACGAGAGAACCGAGAGGCTTAGGCGCCGTGGCTGTTGGTCGAGTTTTCCAGTTACGTCACGACAGTTTTCCGCGAGAGTTCCAAGTTCGAGCTACATACGAACACCCCCGCCTCGCATAGTGCCCAGTTGGATTTTCGTTTGGCCGGAAAAACACATGCTGGTGTGTTTTTTTTAGATTGAACAAAGTAGTCGGCGCGTTGATTTTCACAGCTCAGTTTGTGAGTTTCCCTTACGTATGCCGCCTCACACTCATTTCTAATTGTGATTCGTAGGAAGTAAGTTCTCTAGTGCAAAATATATTCTAATAAAATAGTCATCAAAATAAAATCGGAACACAACAATAAATACAAGTAAAACACCACCAAAATATATCCGAAATATTCGAAAAGAAATTCATCAAAGAATAAACGAAAAGTATCTACAACGCGTCGCCATCGATCGGTCTTCTTGTTGTTCAACCGTTTAACTGAAAGAAAATAAAAACGCATCGAGATTTGAATAAAATTTAATATCTGGCATCACGCAACTGCAATACCAACGTCTGTGAACTTCAACGCAAGCCATCAACGAACGCCAAAAGGATAACGTAACGCAGCGGTACGTAAGGACTAGTGCAACGACAACAAATCGGAAGTCTCCCAAGAGGACATAACGGTGAGTTTGCGAGAGCGGGGGGTACATACATATATGTATGTATATAACGGGGGAAAATCAAAAAATGCCTAGCGAAAATTCTTCAACTCGTTTTCTTTTTTTTTTTTAACCCGGTCGTGTACGTGTGTGTGTGTGTTTGATTACCTCTCTTTCTTGCATGAGCATGCATGCATGTGTGTGTGCGAGTGCAGCGGAAAACGTGTATTCTTAAGAAAAACCTGAAAATCGAAACCCGGAATTGGGTCAGTGTGTCAAACTCTCCAGCTCCAAGTCTGGCTAAAACACGGGCTAAAACGTGTTTCTTGGCTTAGTCAGCTTGTTCTTATTATCTAGTCGCAGCTGCGCCGCTGTTACCGTCGCTGCTGAGGCATAGGCCGTTCGTTCTCTGCTAGCCACTTGACGCCAAAAAGGCCTAAACAGCATCGCCTCCAGAATTCCTAAAAAAAAAAAAAAGCAAGCTGCATAGGTGTGAGTGGGAGGGAGATAAATGTCATCCGCTAGTGACAGTTAGATCAAAGTTGCCTAATCATGATAATATTTTAATATTAATTTAGAATTCCCTTTAGTTTATCTGTCATATTATTACTTTGCTTATTATGTCATCTAGTCGATCAAGTAAACTTTTTCATGAAAAAGTGGTAGCACGTTCTCCAGCTACCGCACTCTCTCTAGTCTTTAGTCTCCAGTCTCTAGTCTACTAGTCTCTAGTCTAGCTAGCTCTATCTCTCTCTCGGGTATTTTTCGGCCACTCGCTTCACTTGATCTTGCACTCCGGTAAGTGGCAGTGCAGTTGACAGCGACCGCGACAGCGACAGCGACTGCTACGTCGACTGAGGCGCTTTTACCTTGAGCACCGCCTGCACTTGTCGCAGCTACCTGGCCCTCCACCCCCTGCCTATCTGGCTTCTAAAAAGCCAACACCTCTTTCGAAATCGTAGTGGCTCTTATTTATGTTTCTTAAGCGGTGTCTTTTTTAATATTTTTGATGTTTGCCAATAAAATTATAACGACTCGGCGGGTCTGCTAATGCGTTTTAAGGTCGCCGCCGTCAGTGCCCAATAACCCAATAACAAAAAAAAAAAAGAAGAGATGCTCTCTTTCACATTTCTCGGCCCATTTAACGGGTGTCTGCTTTGGGCCAGGATCTCTGATTTGATTTATTTTACAGTTATTTATTATACAATGAGGCGCGAGAGAAAGTAAACAAGATTAGAGCCATGGGCGTATGGGAAGTACATTCCAAAAGGGTTTTCTTTAAAAACACCACTTCCTGCTGAAGGACAAGCTTAAACATGAATTAGTAACCAAAGCATCCCGACCCCTCCCCCTCCCTAAGCGCGACCCTGATAAAGGGAAAGGATAAAAGTGACAGCCAGCTGGTGCTCATTTTCCAGGATAGGAAAATAGGAAAATGGGGGAAAAAATGGGGGATATTGGGATAACAACGCGGAAGAGGCTCCATTATAGGTTGCTGGTTTACTATTTAACTGGGCCCAAACACAGCGAGCGAGAGAGAGAGAGAGCGAGCGATAGGGAATCAGAGTGGGAGGTGGGTGGTGACACTGAACAGTGGAGCACCTTCGTCATCGTCACTCGGCCTGTATAAGAGCCATAAATAATGCACGCGAAGAGCACTCGTTGAGAGATTGCGGGAGAGATTGGGGAAAATTAGAGAGAAAGAGAGGGAGCGAGCGGCGTAGGCAGCGCTGCCGCTTTGGGGGGTGTGTTTGATTTTTGCAGTTAAGAGCGAAAAAAAAGTGGCTTTGATTTTCGTCGTGTGCTGTGTGCCCTTCTCAGGGGACTCTCGGGGTATGACAGTTTTGGCAGACGATTCGACCACCACCCCCCACTGACCAAAGGGGGTCTAAGGCCCCAAAGCGTGTCTCGTTAAATGATGGTCTCAGGGGAGTAGTTTAATAAAATCTAACTAAAATAAATAGAAATTTAATAATAATATTTAATATTTAATATTTTACTTAATAATTTTAATTTTCAAAAGTATTTCCTTTTCTTGGCTCACATTGTTGGCACTTGGCAGTGGCTAGTGGCTAGTGGGTGGTAGTGGGTAGTGTGTGGGTGGGTGGTTGCGTGGGCAGTCGCCCCACATTTGCATGCCCCACTCAAGCACTCTCTCCTCGCTCAGACTCGCTCTCTCTCTCTCTTGGACTGGCTCTCTGGTTCCCTGTATATAGCCCGAATTGGGATAGGGATGCGAAGGCTAGCGCTAACCTATATAATTTTTTGGTTTCGTTTCTAACAACAAGCACATCCTCCTTCCGCCCCCAACACCCACCCACCCACAACGGAACCTCTGGTGGTGTTTTGGCAGTTGAAGGTTCCTCTGCTTTTTTTTAAAGCATTTTTTTTTTTATTATTTTTTTTTTCTCAGTCGCTCAGTCGACGTCGCAGCAGCCGAGTGATGCTTTTAGCTTTGCTTTTGGCTTTGGCTTTGGCTTTGGCTTTGAATTTAATGTTAAGTATACGCATCAGTGAACTCAATTTAATTATCATGATTGTTTCGTTCGCTGTCTTTGCTTTTCCGCCGCTGATGAAATTCAGATTTTTCCAACTTCACAAACAGACGTGTTTTTTCCACCGCTTTTCCTCGTTTTTCCTCACTTTTTTCTTCACAGCTTATGTAATGTGAAACGTAGAGCGAGCTGATAAAAAATAAAAGCACTGACTGTCCATAATTACGAGCTTTAGATTCGCTCGCCATTCGCCCATTTTTTATCAGTAGTGTTATTTATAACAAAAAAAAATAAAAAAAAAAAATAGTAAAAAATGGGAAAACAATTGGGATTTTAAAGTGCAGCCTAGCGGAGAGAGAGAGCTAGAAAAAAAAATAAAAAATAGAAATGTTTGTTGCTTCTGTAGCCAAAAACCCAAACGAAAAGCAATTAAGTTGCCACGGATCATTGCACAATAAGTAAAGAATCAAAAAAAAAAAAAAAAAAACAAATACCAAAACTGGCTGGGGGAAAACATAACTGTGTTTGCTTGGCCAACCGTTTACGCCGGCAGAGACGCTGGCAGCGCTGCACACTCGGCTCATCTGAATAACAATACGGTTAGAGTTTAGTATATAGTTTTAGAACGCGCCGAATTCGGTTAATTAGTTTAAAGCCGAAAAACGAGGTGTTGCTGCTGGCCGGCCAGTTGCCACGCCTTTAGCCAGAAAGCGGGATTACCGTACAGTGATGACTCCCCAATAAGAGACCATAAGATTATGATATAATTAGTATAATATAAGATACTCATTTAATAAAAATCCATCTTAAAGGTTATATAAATAGCTACAAATATAAATATCTTGTAGGTCTCGCTCTCGTCACCTATTGAATTGACCTTTTCCAGTTACTAAATCAGATAATGGCAACCTTAACCATTATTAGATCACTAGAGTACAGCTGCCTCTCTTTCGGCCCTCTCTTTCTACGGTTCTAGCTCTAATCGCGGCCTCCATATCATCGGATGAGCAGAGAGGGACACACACAGTGGGCGGTGGGCGGGTTGGCCCTAAAGAGCTTTTTAATAAATAGGCCAAATATGTAATATTGCTAAAATGTGTTTATTGTAATATTTCTTTTCTCGACAACACACACATACACAGATAAACACACACACTTGGACACACGTTGGAGCAAACGCACGTGCATCAGTGCATCCCTCGAATTCAACCCAAAGAGCAAGCGCGGCCCCAAAAAGAGAGCAGTGGTAGTAGTAGTACGAGTGCTCTCTCCCGCTCTGCCTGCTTGTGCTGCTGCCGCCTCAGCTGCTGTCGACGCTGACTGCGCTGTTGGGGGCCCCCAAATCGTCGGCTGTTCGTCAGTTGGGGCTCGCTGAGTCGTTGTTCTACCGTCGTTGTGATTGCAACACATTTTGATTTCGGATTCGGATATTCGGATTTAAGAACTCACGATTCTCCGCTCCGCTTTTCGGCCAAAAAAAAAAAAAAATCCAACTCTCTCGTAGTCGCGTTACAAAGGAAATAGAAGAAAAAAAAAAAAAGTTCTACATTTTATTATAACGCTCGAGTTTGTAAAAGTATGTGTCTCTATAAGTGTGTGTGTGTGTGTGTGTGTGTGCCAGTTTTTCATGCGTTCTCCACCGCTGCTACCGCTGCTGCTGCTGCTGCTGGTGGTGCTGCCGCTGCTGCTGCTGCAACAACAATTAACAATAACGACAACAAACAGTTACCACATCGCCTCTCTCCCTTACTCGTTAGCCCGTTTATATATATAGTATTTTTAAACTGCGTTTTTTTCGCCAAAAAGCCATAAAAATAAAAATAAAAAAAAACAAAAACAAGTACACTTTTAAGTGCTGGCCTGGCCAACAGCGGACAAAAGTCAACGAACAACAACTATTTTGGCCCCAAAAACAAGGCAGTCACAATAAAAGATATACTCCAACTCAGACAAGAATACATACCTATATAAATATATATATATGTATATATTCTTTATGGAAAATCCGTGTGTGAGAACGTACTTGATTTTGGGCTCACAAGCTCACACGGGTTTTCGCCAGAATAACAAATTATGGCCAAGGAAGTTGGTCGGAAAGAAAAGGGGCGAATCTTTATGCGTGACATGGACTAGTTGTTATTGTTATTGTTGTTCTTTTGATATGTTGTTGGCTGGTGTTTTATGTTGTAACGGTATTTTTGTGTATACACCGAAGAAGCAGTGGCAGTGGCAGGAGTAGCCCGCCCACAACAAACCCCGTACATACCTTCCACCCCCTCCTGGGCTCGCCTTCAGAAAATAGTCACAATCGTATCTTTCTCTCCTGCTCTCTCTTCTTCTCCTTTAACATCCTCCCACCCACCTCCTACTCCTCCTCCTCCTCCTCTCTTTCACCACAGTCGTCATCGCCATCGCCATTGCTCTCTACCCTCCTTCCCACTCTCGTGTGTAGTAGCCTTTTTCGCACACGTTGCGTATACGTAATGGCCGTAAACAACAACAACAGTAGCGCGCACTAGAACTAGCAGA